CTATAAATAAGGGGGAATCTGATGCAGACCGTGCAGACCCGGTCAGGAGGTCAAGACCCTGTGGGCCCAAGTGTTGTTGACCGTCCAAACCATAGGCTCTGAGGATCAGACTTTAGCTACCTAGTAGACATAGCAAACTGTCCCTCATCTGATTATTCAGTAATGCTTGTTAGTAATCTCATACACGAGCCCTGGATATCCACAGACAAATGTAAAAACCTTCCCTAAAAGCCGAGACTGTAAATTCCAAAAAGGCAAGTTCACCCCCAAGCCCCCCCGCCAAAAAAAAGCTAAAGAGGATAGAGAGAAACACTGTTAACTGATGATGCATGGAGGGGATAATAATCAATGTAATGAAACAAGCTATATGAATGGTTGAAAGTGAAGCTGATGATGTGCCCTGTAAACTTTCAATCAATCCAAAATAAAAACATTTAATTAAAAAAAAAACCCTCTATTTGTAGATGACATACATAAACAATCCCAAAGACTCAGCAAAAAAAAAAAAAAAAACAATAATTGGAACTCAACGGAAGATTCAACAAAGTGGCGGGGTACAAGGATCAATATACAAAAATCAGTTGGATTCCTTTATACTAATAAGGATAGCTCTGAAAAGGAAATCAGGAAATCAATATCATTTACAATAAACACACAAAGATTGAAATACTTAAGAATAAATCTAACCAGATAAATAAAAGACCTATACAAAGAAATCCACAAAACACTACTACAAGAAACCAAGAGAGATTTGAAAGACTCGAAGAATATACCACGCTCATGGTTAGGAAGACTTAACATAGTGAAAATGTCAATACTACCCAAAGCAATATACAGATATAATGCAATTCCAATCCAGATTCCAACAACATGGTTTTTAAAAGATGGAAAAAACTATCATGAACTTTAAATGGAAATGAAAGGGACCTCAGATGGAGCAAGGCACTGCTTAAGAAGAATAAAGTTGGAGGCCTCTCACTCACTCCCCAATTTCAAAATTTTACTACATGGCCACAGTGATCAAAACATAGATCAGTGGAACAAAATTGAGAACCCAAAAGTAAACACAATCACATACAGTCAAGCGATCTTTGACAAAGGACTAAAAGAAATATTCTCTTCAACAAATGGTGATGGAAAAACTGTAAATCCATTTGCCAAAGAATGAAACAACACCCATATCTCACACCATATACAAAAACTAACTCAACATGGGTTAAAGACCTAAATGTAAATCCCAGAACTATAAAGATCATCAATGAAAACATAGTTGTAAATTTAGGTGCATACATAGACTATCAAACATTGCAAAAAAATACATAAAAAATAGAAGACAAAATAAATGACTGGAATATATTAAAATCAGAAACACAATTGCATCAAAAGAATTTACTAAAAGAGTAAAAAGGGAGCCCACAGACAGGAAAAAAATTTTTGCAATAACATATCAGACAATGGACCAATTTATAAAATGTACAAGAAACTGCAACACCTCTACAAGAAAAATGTTGTTGTTATTGTTAAGCGCCATCGGAGTCAGTTCTGACCCATAGCAACCCTGAACAGAGTTTCCAAAGCTGTAAATCTTTATGGGGGCAGAAAGAAAAATAGCCTAATTTAAAAATGGGCATAGGACATGAACAAACATTTATCAAGGAAGACATTCAGGCAGCCAACAAACATATAAAGAAATGTTCGTGATCATTAGCCATTAGAAAGATGCAAATCAAAACAACAATGAAATATCATCTCAAACCAGAATTAACAGCAAAGTTCAGAAAGACATAAAACAACAAATACTGGTGAGGGTGTGGAGATACTGTGGCCCTCCTAGATTACTGGAGGGACTGTAAAATAGTTCAACCACTCTAGAAAACAGTATGAAAACTACCTAGAGTTGGAAATAGAAACACCTTATGATCCAGTAAATCCGTCTATAGTTGGCATATATCCATAAGAAATATAAGCCAGAATATGAGTAAATATATGTATACCAATGTCCATCACAGGACTATTCACAACAGCAAAAAGATGTAGACAGCCTAAGTGTCCATCAATGGAAGAATGAATAAACAAACTTTGGTACATATACACAGTGGAATACTATGAAACCCTGAAGAATAACGATGAAGCTCATAACATGATTAATCTTGAGGATGTTATGTTGAGTGAAATTAGTCAATTACAAAAGGACATTTTGCATGAGACCATTATTGTAAAAGCTTAAGAAAAGATTTCCATACTAATAGAAAAATTATTTGATGGCTACCAGGAGTGGGAGGGAGAAGAGAGTAATTCACAAGAGGGTGAGTAGACACATGCTAGTTCAGGTGATGGGGAAGGCAATAAATGAGGAGGACGAGGGTAATACACAGGAAGTGGGAGAGGGGTAGATGCACAATGAAGATAGGGCAAAACTTAGGGAGGTATGCATGGACTAAATGGGACAGAGATAAATAGTGATGTATAGACAACCTTGGAACAACAGTGATATGAGATACAGGAATTAAGACATAGTCTATATGGGTAAAGAAGGGGAAAAGTGCTTAAAAGCTTGACTATATTGTGAATACTGATTTCTCCTGCCTACTATTGTAAAATGTACAATTAACTTTGATAAAAAGGAATATTGGTAACTATGATTACATAAAGCCCTGGAAGCCCATCTTCAGCCTATTATTGATTGAATTCGATAGAAGAGGAATAAGAATTTGCCCAGGGAAATAGACTTCTTATTAAGCTTTTGTGTAATATGGCGAGTTACATGGACTCCTGAGCCCGACCCAGAATCTTCTAAGGTGGGGCATTCCCACTTGAAAAGACAAGCATATCAACCCAAAATGGCTAGAACAGAAAATATCTTTTGAAACAACGACCGGCAGAAAAAAAGCAGACTGTTTGGATGTTGGAATACCAAGCAAGCTGTTTGTTTTGGAGCCATTTAGGCAAGAAAAATCAGCCCATTAGGGAAAAACCCCTTCTAAGATTGAAACTCTAAGGGATCCTTAGAGTGGCCTAGTATGCTTGCTGGTGACTACCCTGGTTTACTTATGAGTGGAAGTGGAGGATATGCAGCAATGAAGACATTGGCTGAGTTTGGCCATGTTGACACCATTGACCTTTAGATGAGAGAGAGATAAGGAAGGGCTGACTGGTTTGAAGTTTTGGGAGATGTGTGAACTCCGAGTCCATGGACTCGTGAACTCCCAAACTTGCATATCATACTCACTTGACCTAGCCTGGATGGCTAGCTGACCATAATTCGACCAGAGGAAGATAAAGAAGTTTGAGACAGGAAGCAAGGGTAAATTGCTACAGTTTGTTGAACTTGACCTTTGCTAATGGATACAGTTGCTCAAAATTCTAACCGAAATGAAAAGATTGTTTTTATCAAGGATCAAGCTTGTCTCCTCAGTACACTGAGTTGATAGGGATGAGCAACTTAGACACTGACTATTAAACATGAGGGGCTATAAAAGTATGAGGTGCTTACAAACTTTCATAAGCGTGCTTAGTTTCAGAATGAGGGGCATACGGTAGAATCCCCACTGAATAGTTTCCCTTTTTTCCAAATGGATCTGATGAAAATAGATAGATAGGGGATGATGGAGATAGGATTTTATGATTCAAGTTTGAGTAATTGCTATCTGGATTAATGGCAATCACCATAATGTGCAATTACAGAAAATGTGTAATTAAAAGGAAGGAGTAGCTAATCTGCATTTCAGAAACAGAGGACCCCAGGACCATGAAGAAGGAAGAACATGAGTGGAGCATGAGAGTCTAACCGGAAAAGCGGCGACAGCAGAGACAGTGGCAGAAACGATGGCAATAGAGAGAGCATCTGAGGACTTTAGGCCCATGGACTGAGAAAGTCTTCCTGCTGGCAGAAGACTAACTTACAAAATGCACTATTTGGACATTTAATAGAATATATATTTTTCTGTCTTATATGTCTACATCAAATATTTTTGATTTGTTCGTTTGTGAAAAATAAGATGTAAAAGGGAAGCCAAAGGGTGGAAGCAGGGTAAATGTTGTTATGGGGAGGGGAGTGTAATTACTGAGATGAAACAAAACATGTGATTGTTTGAATGCAAAGCTAATGATCTTGAAAAAATAAAACCTTATGACAACAACAACAATAAAAGAAGTGTATTGTACTAGAGGGAAAAAAAAGAAAATCTTTTGTTAACTTATTAAAATAGTGGTCTCATACAATTAATTAAAAACAAAGAAAGAAAGCTGGTTGACAAATAGACATAGTGTATTAAAAAGGAAATTATGTCGAAAAATGATTTGTCTTTTCTAAAAGTTGATTAAAATAAATTCTACAGCCAAAAGAAAAAGAATATTACCTGAAAAAGTAGAACACAGTTGAGAAGCAAAAGTAGATGAGAGAAATGAGACCATTTGTGGTGGCCTACCAAATACAAATAGTTTCTTAGCGTTGCTTCGCTGGAAAAGCACTTGGAGGAGGGTAGAGGCTTGGATAAATGAGTGCACGAAGAAAACAACTGTGGCTATGGCATTCAGGATAGAAAGGCAGTGGTGGTAGAAGCAGAGAATTCCTGAAGAAGAGGTTGTAAAAGCTTAGGTGACAACTGACCATATTCTAAAATAGAAATTAAAAAAAAAAGACAAAAGCCAGTTGCCATTGAATCAACTCAAATTCATGTGTATCAGAACAGAACTGTGTTCAGTGGCTGGTGATTCAGAACTAGACTGCTAGGTCTTTCTTCCCAGGCACTTCTTAGTTGACTTGACCTTCCAGCTTTATAAACAAGCAGCCAATCACCATACTGTTTGAACCACCCAGGAAACTAGAGGTATAAATAACACTACTTGTCTATTCAGAAAGTACAGAATTTTATAGGCCCTTATACTTGCGAAGTTAAGAGTGGGAAGCTAAAATTTACTAAATGTATTCCTTGAATATAAAATATAAAATATAAATTTATTTATATATGAATCACACTATAAACTATATATTATTTTACCTCACAGAATGTCCAGAAAAATCCTCCAACACGCTATCCGTTTCAAGAGTCTGCTCATAATCTTTAATAGAATGTTTGCTACTCGTCCCAGACTTCTTTCCTTGATGGGAACCATGTTCTGAGCCAGACTGTACTTTTTCTTCATCAAGAAGAGAGTTCTGAATATTTCCATTAAGTGAATCCAACCCTGTAATGTAAACGTTTATAAAGCTACTTCCAAATATCAAAAACCACTAAGACACAGTTGATAACTGCTGTTGTTGTTAAGTGCCTATGAGTCAGTTCCGACTCATAGCGACCCTGTATATAAGGTTTCCGAGGAATGGCTGGTGAGTTTGAACCATCGACATTGTGGTTCAAACAGAATGTGCAGTCCAGTGAATTATCCCACAGCATTACACTAGGTTTCAGTAAAATAATAAAAACTAAAGACCAGAATATGTTAAAATTTCCATATATTTAAAATTTATTTTTCATATGTAAAATAAAGCAGTTCACCCTTCTGTCTCCATTTAAGGAAAATGAATGGACCCATAGTATAAGCTCTCGAACTCAAAGCCATTCTAAACCTCAAGATCGGCAGTTCAAACACACCAGCTGCTCCTCGGAATTCCTATACAGGGTTACTATGAGTATAGGAATTGACTCAACAGTGCTTAACACCAACAACAACTTGGCATTAAAACACAAAATGCCGTTAACACAACTGGTAATAAAAGGCGTATATATTAAGCATGAACTGCTACACTATCTCTACATTAAAGTAACCAAAAAGAAGATTTTAATGATAAAATCCAAAGCTGGGAGAAAACTGGTATACTCATGAGCTGCCAATAAAATGACTTGCTCTTTTTGAAAAATTCTATGACATGAACTATGCAGACAGATTCATAAAGCATACATTTTATTGGATTTAGTATAATCTGACTTATAGGACTACATTACATATGTTGTTGTTGTTGTTGTTATGTGCCGTGGAGTCGGTTCCAACTCATAGCGACCCTGCACAGGGTTTCCGAGGCTGTTAATCTTTACGGGAGCAGAATGCCTCATCTTTCTCCCGCGGAACCGCTGGTAGTTTCGAACTGCTGACCTTGCGGTTCACAGCCCGATTCGTAACCACTACGCTACCAGAGCTCCTTACATTACATATAGTTACATTAAAAATATATATAATAGTATCTTGAATATTTCAATAGAACTTTGCAGTTTTAAAGGCTTTCCAAATACATAAATATATATATATATGTTGTTGTTGTTCTTAAGCACTTTATGAAATATCAGATCCCCAATTTATGATGAAGTAACTAGGGATCTATGAGGCTAAACAATTTGCATAAAGATATTTAATCAATAGCAGGTATCACACAACTCTAACTTCAGATTATCTAATACTCTGTTCATTTTAACGGTATGTTTCAACAGCAGCATAAGAAAGTGGTTTATTTGATTTTATAAGATACAGAAACATAACTGCACATATATTTTAATGGTAGCTAATTTTTTTAAAATATAGATATACAGTTAGATGAGAACATGGAAAAGTGAGAAAAAAATTAATTCCAAATATTATGTTTTACTGATGTCATATGTAATACAGTATATAATTTTTCATTTAAAATTTGGTTTAAGAAAGGAAAAATGATAAAACAGTCGTTAGTATATGAAAAAAAAAACTAAAGCTGTCAAACAAAGAAATGAAAATCTCATCAAAGCAATGCCATTTTTTATTATTAAATTAACAAATATTTTTAAAGTAGCAACACCTAGTATCAAACAACAGACAAAGTAAAGGAACTCATGCACTGTTTTTAGGGGAGTGCAAACTTGATACATGCTTTTTGGAGGACAATTTAAGGTATGTACAAAAATAATTTTGTATTCCTTTTGACTCAGAAATTGCACTTCAGTTACAGCAAATCAACATAGGAAGCCACTTAAAGATGTGCACCAGGAATGAGACAACAGAATACTGATTACACTATAATTGAGGAGAGAATAATCTAAAAAATTACTAATCAATCAGAAAGTGTTTTATAATCTAAAATTTATTCATGATTAGGTAGAACAGTAGCCTGGCTACCTCTACTGTTCCTAAAAAAGATGCACTTATTTTTAAATGGTGGTGGCGGCGGTGGTGGTATGCTGTGGAACCAGTTCTGACTCATAGTGACTCTGTATAAGGTTTCTGAGGCAGCAAATCTTTACAGTTACTGAAAGCTTCATCTTTCTCCCACAGAGTGGCTGGTATTTTCGAACTGTGACTTTGTGATTGACAGCTCACTTCAAAACCCACTACGGTACCAGGGCTCCTAAATAAGAACATTTTAATCATTTGAATATAGTTATTTGAAAATACATACACAATTTAAAAATTTGTTATTCACTTCAAATAACTAGAAACTGTAAGAAAAACAATGGTCTATGCATGAAATACCTACGCTCCAATCAAGGAATTCATCTAACAAAAAAAATGTTTTGCTTCTACATTAAAAGACTGCCAAATATAACTTAATGCGCCAGATTGCAAAGCCATTTGAACTGCAAGGTTGGCAGTTCAAACTCACCAGCAGCTCCTCAAAAACCCTACATAGGGTCGCTATGGGTCAGAACCAACTCAATGGCATTTAATAACAACAACATATGTTATAAAGATAAAATATTTTTTTCTTGGGATTCCCACTTCAGCTGCACTGGGTAAGGTGTCATGTGTTATAACTTTCATACAGAGCATACAGACATTTTCAATGTGGAGGATGTTCAATAAAGTTACACTGATTTTAGAACTTGGAAAAACTAAGAAGATGGAAACTGAATTTTTAGGTGCTGTGAGAAGAAATAAAGGAAGATGAAGGCCACAAAACACTACCTATACTTTATCTACTCATGTTTCAGATTGTTACTGTTGTTAGGTACCATCAAGTTGGTACCGACTCATAGCAACACTATGCAAAACAGAAATGAAACGCTGCCCAATCCTGGGCCAACCTTACAATCGTTGCTACATTTGAGCCCATCGCTGCTGCCACTGTGGCAGTCCAACTCGTTGGGGGTCTTCCTCTTTTTCTCCGAACCTCCATTTTACCAAATTTGATTCCTTCTCCAGGGACTGGTCCCTCCTGACTATATGTCTGAAGTAGGAGACACAAAGTCTGGCCATCTTAGCTTCCGGGAGCATTCTAGATGTACTTCCAACACAGATTCATTTGCTCTTTTGGAAGTCCAGGGTATTTTTAATTTTCTCTTCCAACACCATAGCTCAAATACATCAATTCTTCTGTGGTCTTCCTTAATCACTGTCCAACTTTAGAATACATATGAGGTCATTGAAAATATCATGGCTAGGGTCAGGTGCACTTCAGTCCTCAAACTGACATCTTTTCTCTTCAACACTGTAAAGAGGTCTTGTGCGCAGATTTGACTAATGCAACATGCCATTTGATTTCTTGGCTGCTGCTTCCATGAGTGTTGATGGTTAATCTGAGCAAAATGAAGGCTCTGAGTACTTCAATCGTTTCTCCATTTATAGTGATGTTATTTACTGGTCCAGTGGTAAAGACTTTTCTTTACATTGAGATGCAATCCATACTGAAGGCTGCGGTCTTTGATTTTCATCAGTTAAGTATTTTAAGTCTTCTTTATTTTCAGCAAGCAAAGTTGTATTATCTGCATATTGCAGGTTGTTAATGAGTCTTTCTCCAATCCTGATGCCATGTTTTTCTTCATATAATCCAGTTTCTCAGATTATTTGCTCAGCATACAGACTGAAAACATATGGTGAAAGAATACAAACCTGGCGCACACCTTTCCTAATTTTAAAACATTTGGTGTTACCTGTCCTGTTCAAATTGCTATTCACAGACTCTACTAAAGGTTAATATGAAAGTGCTTTTGTTAAATTAGACCAGTTAGTGGCTAGCGTTGCCTCACCAATTGCTGGATTTGCCACCAAACTACTGAGACGGTACATGAAAACTCAGACTCATTAGCTTGCCCCATCTTGAATTATAGCCTTGTACCTAATGTCACCTTCGATTTTAGTGGTACACTCAAACAAACTATAAATGCTAGTTGTGACATCCCTAGGATTAAAGACGAAGCCCCAGGTGGCTTGCTTTAATTTAACCCAACAGCCCTGATCAATTGATGGAGAATGAGCTTTGTATAATTGTTCTGGTGATAAAGGACTGGGAGTGGACCACCCCCCCACCCTCACCCCTACCTCAGATTGGCTACTCCTATGCCCAAGACTCCCAAGATTCCTAGAGGCTTATGAAAAAGAATTGTAATGTTCACAAGGAAAAAATCCTTATCTTTGCTGCTTCCATGAGTGTTGATGGTGGATCCAAGAAGAATGAATTCCATTTATGGATGTTATTTATTGGTCCCGTAGTGAGGATTTTTGTTTTCAGATTGTTGTTGTTAAGTGCCGTCGAGTCGGTTCCGACCCATAGCGACCCTGTACAGGGTTTCCGAGGGTGTAAATCCTTACGGGAGTAGAAAGCCTCATCTTTCTCCCGCGGAGCGGCTGGTAGTTTCGAACCGCTGACCTTAAGGTTCGCAGCCCGATTCGTAACCACTACGCTACCAGATGTTTTCAGATTAGGATTTTTAAAAACCAATGCTGTCATATTGGTTATGCTCAATATCTTCAATATGCCATATTTCATAGTTGTGCCACAATACACTACTGTTTAAGTTGTACAGTATATTGTAGCACAATGTTAAGTTGTATAGTTTATTGCAGCACAAATATAATTTTCTATAGCTGGCCTTTTTTTTTTTTATCTGCAATAGGTTGATGTAGGAGTCAGACATTAAAATCCAAGCTTTGCCTTGTATCTTAACTCATCTGTCAGTTTGTCATGCAGTGGTAACTTGTGTGTGGCTGTGATACTGGAAGCTATGCTATATGAGACAATGTTTTGAGGCTATTCATAATGTTTTCAGTAGTTTACCTTTCAGAAGTGGCCTGCCTCACACCTTCTTCCTACCAACCATGGGTGATGCCCCTGTTGGTATTTAAAATATTCAATATATCGTACTTTAAAGTTATGTAACAATATAATTACACTTTTAAGTTGTATAGTATATTGTAGCACAAATATAGTTTCTATATTTGACCCATTCCATTATTTGCAATATATTGATTTGGGAGTCAAACATTCGAAAACCAGTTAGAAGACACTCAAAATATGAATGGGGATAATGTGGATGGAGCAAAGCTTTCGGTACCTTCATTTGCTGATGGGACATAACTCAAAATGAGAAGAAATAGCTGTAAACATCAATTAAGAATCAGAATGTGAAACGTCCAAAGTATAAACCTAAGAAAATTAGAAGTCATCACAAATGAAATGGAACACATAAAGATTGACATCCTAGGCATTCATGAGCTGAAATGGACTCATTTCGGTCATTTTGAATCAGACAATCATATGGTTTATAATCCGGAAATGAAGAAATCAAAAGGAATGGTGTTGTATTCATTGTCAAAAAAAGCATTTCAAGATCTATCTTGAAATGCAATGAGTCTGTGATAGGATAATATCCTATGCCTAAAAGGAAGAACAGTTTATATCATTATTATTCGAATTTACGTACCAAGTACTAAAGTCAATAATGAAGAAATTGAAGAATTCGATCTCCAGAGTGCTGGTGTGGTGCTGTAGATTAAGAACTAGACTATAAGGTCAGTTTGAACTGCAAGATTGGCAGTTTAAACTCAGCAGCAACTCCTTGAAAATTCTATATACATGGTCACGAGTCAAAACTGACTCGATGGCACTTAACAACAACCACCACTAACATCTTCAGTATGAAACTGATCAAACATGCAGTACAGATGCATTAATAATTAATGGGGGTTGGAATATAAAAGTTGGAAACAAAGAGAAAGCATTGGTAGTTGGAAAATAAGGCTTTGGTCATAGAAATGATGCTGGAGGACTGTAGGATAGAATTTTGCAAGACCAATGATTTATTAAATGTAAATACCTTTTCAACAACATAAATAATGACTATACACATGGACCTCACCAGATGAAATAAACAGAAATCAAATTGATATATCTGTGGGATGAGATGATGGAGAAGATCAATCTCATTAGTTAAAATAAGATCTTAGACAACTACGAACAGACCATCAACTGTTCATATACAAGTTCTGGATAAAGCCACCATGAGACTAAAAGAACTGGATGTAACTGGCTACCAATACTGAACAGTTTAAGCAAAAATTCTATAGAAAAATCCTGGTCTAAAAGGGGGTAAATTTTTCAAATTCTCATGGATTCCAGACATTCTGGAATCATGGGGGTTAGAAGAACCTCTAAAACTATTGCCAAGAGATAATCTTTAAAGTTTAAACCAAAAATATTTCCTGAAGTCTTCCCAAAAAACACAACAGTGTATGTAAACTAGTAAAAAATGCTTACCTTGCACAGTATGCTGCTTTAAAAACTGTCAAATTGGGGTCAAACTGACAACAGTACCGTGAAAGACACAAAAATCTTAGGGTTCCAATGAGTATGTTAGTGGGGGAGGAACAACTCAGAAAAGGAGTTTGCGAATGGTTGCACAACTTGAAGAATGTAACCAGTGTCAGTGAACTGTGCTTGTCAAAATGGCTGAATTGAATGTTTTGTTGTATATATTCTCAACAACAACCAATTAAAAAAAAAAAAAAAAAAAAATGAGACTGATAGCCCTTTCCTAATCTCACCTCCGGGTCTACAGAGTAAACTGCAACCAGGTGTAAACCTGAGGGAAATGAAGAGCATATGAATCATTGATAACTATTTACTGTTGTCAATGGGCCAGCCACTATCCTAAGTACCGGGATATATATATTATCTCCCTTAATTTCATTTAAGCTTCAAAATTACCATATGACATATCTATTATTATTTCTATCTTACAGATTGAAAAATCTGAGAGCATTGTATTTAAAGATATGTAGACATACACATGATAAACTAGTGTTATTGATGCTGTGTACAACTGAATTGTTTTCAGATCACAGTGATCCTGTATAGGATTTTAAAGGTCATAAAATTTACAGGAGCAAAAAGTCTCATCTTTCTCCTGTAGATCAACTGGTGGATTCAAACTGCTAAGCTTACAGTTAACAGCTCAACTTGTAATCCACTACACCACCAGGGTTCCTGGATATACTGTTAAGCTTTTTTAAGAAAGGCAAAAGTAAAGCAATATGATTTGCATTTCTAAATTATTCAAATAAAAATGTGCATATATAGAAAATAGGTGCAAAAATGTTAATAATGGTTATGCCTGAGCTGAAGGATTAACAGGAATTTGTACTCCTTGTATTGTTGTTGCTGTTAAGTTTCATGCAGTCGGTTCCAGCTCAAAGCAACCCTGTATAAGGTTTCTAAAGCTGTAAGTCTTTGTGGGAGCAGAGAGCTTCATTTTCCTACTTCAGAGTAGTTGGTGGGCTTTAACAGTTGACCTTGTGGTTTGCAGGCCAGTGCTTATCCTGCAGAGCCATCGTGCTTCCCATACTTCTTGTATAAATATTTATAATTTTGAAATTTTTATCATTATAAATGACTTACCCTTGTATGAAGAAAAAGATGAATACTGCTTTATATCAAAAGGTATTGTTTTAATGACAAATAAATGTGAAAGCTAAATTATATTATCATCATAAAGAACTGCATATAACTTATGAACTCCAGTCACAACTTTAGATCACCACCACAAATCATTCTATTATTATTATTTTAATTTCATGTAGAACTCGACTTACGTTCTAACTTTTCTTTTTTCCCTTTCTTTCCTTTAGAAGAAGTAGATGACCGAGATGATGCAGCAGACTGGGCCCCTGACGAATGTGGGGAAGTAATAATGTCCACAGTGGAAACATCATAAGCAGACTTCCTGCTAGAACGCTCCTCCTGAATGCCTAAACTGCTACCACCAATACTGTAAAAGAATAAGTAAACGTGGGTAAAGAAATAAGTCTTACAACACAGCTAAAACTGTAAGGATGCAAAAATTTATCTCAACACTAGAATATAACTATAATCAAAGATGCCTTCCACTTTTCTTCTTTGCAATTATGCACTAGACTATTCAGAGAACAGTTAGTGGTTCAAATTCACCCAGAGGCATCTTGGAAGACAGACCTGGAGATGTGCTTCCAGAAGTCTAAATAACTAAAAGGAGGTCTCCAAGAGTTGGACTGGACCCAACCTAAACTAACAACAAGCCTAGATTATTCCCTATTGCTCAATTTACTACTGAGAAAAACCTGAAGTGAAACCAACAAAAATATATATTCAATGCTACTTAATAGAAAAAGATATAATGTTACATACTAGAATTTTTTTTTTTTAAATTTCTAACTCTATATAACTATTTTCCCCTAATAATATTATTGTTGTTGCTATTAAGTGCTGTTGAGTTGGTGCCGACTCACAGCAACCCTTTATAGGGTTTCTGAGGTTGTAAGTCTTTTGGGAGCAGAAAGCCTCATCTTTCTCCCATTGATAATCTTAACAGAGAACAACAATATGCTCAACTTTAACCTGAAATTAAATGCATCAAATCAAAATGCTATCAAATATGAATGCAGATAGATTTACGGTGGTGGTGGTAATGTGCTGTGGAGTCAATTCTGACTCATAGCAAACCTGTACAGATAGATTTATAGATTAACAAAATTTAGGGAGGAAATTTTTCCTGCAGTTTGATTCACTTATGTGACTTTGTAAAAGCAATTCAAACACTGTGCTTCACCCTCCTCCCTAACCTGGGAACAATAACAATAAAAATTACCACATCAGGCTATTATAGAAATGAGTTAGTATAATAAAGAAAGCCCCTCAGTCCTTTCAGTGCCTTGCAAAGCACTGAACAGATACTGGCTGTTATCATTGTTATGACTGCTGCTATTTTTCAAAGCTTTGTATAATCTTGCATATTTTCCTGATTGCAAAAACTTGATTATGTGGGATCACTGCATCAAGAATCCATCTGCTTTTCCTCAGATTAATCACAGAAAACCGTATTTTATCGTGTAGTAGTTTCCCAGTGTTATCATCTACTGGGGATTTACAGATTGACTTAAATTCACAACAATCTATATATACTCTCCAAACTATCTGCCAGGCTCTGTTGTAAGTACTTTGTATTTCAGAGTACTCATAACAGTTCTGTGAGACAGGAATGATTATTTTCCCCATTTTACGGAAAAGGGAACTGAGGAACAGGAAGGCTAAGTAAAAGTAACATGCCCCAAAGCAAACAGCTAATAATCAGGAGAGTCAGAAATCAAACCAGTCTAGATCCAAAGCCTAAGTTTTTAACCTTGCTATGCAGCATGTTATCGTTAAACAAGCAAAATGTGACTAACGTTCAGAACACGGTTTTCATTTCTACATTTTCTCACTATTACCACCATATTCTTACGTAGGTTCAAGAGCTGATTTTTTCTCCGTCAGAGTCCCACTCCCTGAAGAGGAGACAAAATCATCTTCATATGAAATACTGCTTAGAGGGGTTGTGATGGTATTCAAAGGTCGCAATGCTGATGTTCGTCTCTCCAACCTGTTTTCTAAGCCTGTCAAAATCATTGATTTTGATTAGATAGAAAAATTTTAAGCTCTAAGAAATACATTCCACAATTAATCTCACAATGTGAAGATTAATAGCATGGATTTATAAATGTTTTTCCTTACTTTTATTATTAATGCTTCCTTTAAGTTTAACTTAATATGTAACAGTATATGTTAAACATTTTATGTAGAAAATTTTCTACATTAAAGTAAAGAGCACAATGAATCCAATGAATCCACCACTCAGCTAGAAAAACTATCGGTACATGACCAATACAGTTTGAACTAAACCTCCTACCCTCCCATGTGCTACCCCTCACACACACTAAAGTACCTTAAAGGAAACACCAGATAACATACCATTTCATCACTAAACAAAGAGTAAGTTAAAAAGTATTGTTGCAAGAAAGAATCATTCCCACCCCCTCCATACACAGAGTAGACAGGGATGGGCAACTTGGACATTGGCTACCCAAAATGGGGGGTGGGGGGCTACAAAGGCAAGAAGTGACTGGCTTACAAGTTTTCAAGAGGGAACCTAGATCCAGAGGGCCTGGAGGAAGGTAGAATCTCCAGTGAGTAGTATTCAATCTGACTAGGCGGGGCTGATGCAATGAAATGCAGATGGGTCTCTTGTGATACAATAGTGAATAATTGTTATCAGGACTGATTGTGAGGGTTGGAAATGTAAAGGTAGATGCTTTATAGCAAGGAGGGGAGTGATTAACTTTTCAGTCTAGGAGCAGAGGTCCCTAGGACCATCAAGGGAGAAGAGCAGAGAGCGGGACCCTACCCAGAGAAGCAGTGATGCCTGAAATGGAGCCAGAAATGATGACGTGAAGCGATGGAGCAGCTGGAGACTTTAGATCCAGAGAGGGAGAGCGACTGTGTGCTGAAGACCTGGGGGGTACAGGGGAAGGATTGCATGGAGGGGATTGTAACCATGGCAATGAGACGATATACGATAGAATGAATGTAAAACTAATGTTCTCCCATGTAAACTATCACATAATTCACAATAAAACATTTAAGAAAAAAAAAAAAAAAGTATTGTTACTAGGGCTCCAGTTCACACATAAGGGATTTATCGAAAGTGCAACTGGTAGAAGGTTGCTGACAAGTCCTCTCTCTTGTCTTACTTGTAATACATTTGTATAAGTCTCACAAGTGTGTCTTCAAAATAAGAGGTCCACACAAAACAGTGGCTTCCTAAGGCATGTGCTGGGCCAGTTCACTTCATGGCAGAGTAGCCAGCTCAGGAGGCTATGGTGACTGTGTCTGGGGACCCCAAATTTGAGAATCCATTGTTTTCTGGAAGGACATTGGACAATCACTAAGGTTTATTAGGAAGAAGTTTTTAGGAAATCTGAAAACTTCATTGGTGAGAAAAAGGCCAGGAAAGCTGACCCCAGAATTGTTTGTTTTTTTTTATCACAACAAAGCTCATTCTTTGAGGGTAACAAGGGTTCTCCAGAGAATTCTATTACGAAACCATACCCCATATACCCTGTAGCTCTGAATTCCATTCAGACTTTTTATTCTCCAAACTCAAAGAACACCGAAAAAGAAGACTGCCATTGTAATGCAGTGTAAACTGAAGAGTACAGAATTATCCAGGAAAGGATTGTTGTTATTGTTAGCTGCCATCAAGTCAGTTCAGACTCATAGCGACTCTACATACAACATAACACTGCCTGGTTCTGCACCACATTTACAGTTGTTATGTTTGAGGTCGTTATTGCTCTCACTGTGTCAATCCATCTTGTTGTGAGTCTTCCTCTATTTTGCTGACCCTCCACTTTTCCAAGCACGATGTCCTTCCCCAGGGACTAGTCATTCCTAACGAAGTCTTGTCATTCTCACTTCTAAGAAGCAGTCTGGCTGTACTTTTTCCAAAACAGGTCTGTTTGTTTTCTGGCAATCCATTGTACTTTCAATAGTCTTCACGAGCACATTAATTCATCAATTCTTCTACAGTCTTCCTTATACATTGCCCAACTTTCATATTCATATGAGGTGATTGAAAATACCAATGAATGGGTCAAGGGTATCTTAGTCCTCAAAGTAACATCTTTGCTCTTTAACAATTTAGAGAGGTATTTTGCAGTAGATTTGCCTACTATAATACGTCATTTGAATTTTGGGCTGCTGCTTCCAGGAGCATTGATTATCAATCTAAACAAAATGAAATTTTTAACAACTTCATTTTTTTCTCATTTATCTTGACATTATATACTGGCCCAGTTATGAGGATTTTTGTTTTGTTTCCATTGAGGAGCAATCTATACTGAAGACTATAGTCTCTGATCTTCGTAAGTATTTCAAGTCCTCTTCGCTTTCAGTAAGCAAGGCTGTATCATTTACATATCACAGGTTGTTAGTGAATCTTCAGCCAATCCGGATACTGTTTTCTTCTTCATATAATCCAGCTTCTCAGATTACTTGCTCACCATACACACTGAATAAGTATGGCCAAAGGATAAACCCTGACACACACCTTTTCTGATTTTAAACCAATCAGTATCCCCATGTTCTATTCTAATGACTGCCTCTTGGTCTATGTACAGGTTCTTCATAAGCACAATTAAGTGTTCCAGAATACACATTCGTCCCAATGTTAAACCAGTTTTCATGATCCGTAGACCCTATGCATAGTCAATAAAGCATAAGTAAACATCTTTGGACTCCTGGTGTGTTGTAGGATCAGAACCACAAAGTCAGCAGTTCAAACCTACAAGTTGCTCCTTGGAAAACCCTACATAGAGTTGCTATGAGTCAGAACCGATTTGACAGCAATTAACAACAACAAATGGCATTTTTGTATTCTCTGTTTTCAGCCCAGAAACACCTGATATCAGCAATGAAATTCCTCATTCTCTCTGAATACACCTTGAATTTCCATATATTGATGCAACCATTTATCTTCAGCAAAATTGTATTTGCATGATAATAATCAAATTGTTCAATGATTTTTGCATTCCATTGGGTCACATTTCTTTGAAATTGGCACAAATATGGATATTTTCCAATCAGCTGGCCCGGCAGCTGTCTTCCAAATTTCTTGGCAGAGACAAATGAGCATCCCCAGTGCTGCATCAATTTGTTAAAACATTACAACTTGTATTCTGTCAATCCCTAAAGCCTTGTTTTTAGCCAATGACTTCAGTGCTGCTTGGACGACTTCTTCCTTCAATACTTGATTCTTGGCCATATGGTACCTTTTGAAATGACTGAACATTTACCAATTTTTTTGATGAAATTTTGGTGACTGTTTATTCCTATCTTCTTTTGATGTTTCATATGGCATTCAATATTTTACCCAGAGAATCCTTCAATATTCCAACTATAGGCTTGAATATTTTCTTCAGTCCTTTCAGCTTGAGAAATACTGAGTGTGGTCTTTCTTTTTGTTTTTGTAACTCCAGAACTTGGAACATTTTATTTTAATACTTGACTTTTGTCTTCTCGAGCTGCCCTTTGGAATTAGTTCTTTTATATTTCAGAATTCCATCCCGTCACTTGAGCTTCTCAATGTTCAAAGCACATTTCAGTCTCTAGAAGACTCTGAAATCTTAGCCAATTTTAGTCTTTTTAACGATCTTTTTCATTCTTTATGGAGGATGCCGCTTATGTCATCTCACAATTCCTCTGGTCTTTGGGCATATTACCTACTGCATCACATCTGTTCTTGAGTGAAATATAGTCACATTCAAGTGAAATATAATCATATTTTGGCTCTCATGGACTTGTCTTAATTTTCTTCAGCTTCAGTCTGAACTTGCATATTGATGGTCTGTTCCTGATCTTGTTTTGGCTGATGATATTAACCTTCGTCTCTTCCCACAGTTGTAGTCAGTCTGATACCTATGTTTTCCATCTGGGGATGTCCACAGGCATAGTCACCATTTATGTTATTGAAAAAAAGATATTTGCAATGAACAAATCATTGGTTATACAAAATTCTATCACGCAATCACCAGCATCTTTTCTGTTATTTAGACCATATTTTTCAACTACTGATCAGTCTTCTTTGTTTCCAACTTTCTCATTCCAACTCCCAGTAATGCACCTTGAATTCATCTTTGATCAACTTCAGTCTGAAGAAGTTGTTAGAATTCTTCAATTTCATCATCACTGGCTTTAGTGGTTGATGCATAAATTTAAATAAATGTATTCTTGTGCCAAACCCCAGCTGTATACCTGTCCCACGACAAGCCCTCCTATACATCTATCCCATTCACCTACAGAACCCACCCTCATTAACTGGTCTTCCTTGTTTGGCATATGGATATTATCCTATCAAAGACAGCATTGCACTTCAAGACAGATCTTTAAATGCTCTTTTTGACAATGAATGTTACACTATTGTTTGTTGTTCCCAATATAGTAAAATATGACTGGCTGATTCAAAATAGCCAATACCAGTCTCAAGGGGGGAATCTTGATAGATTTTCTTTAAAACAAACAGGGCAATCAAGACTGAAACTCAAAGGCAACACATGAGCAGAAATGTAAGCTTGCTGACGACCACACTGGTCTACTGGTGAGTGAAAGAGAGGGAAAGGCAGCAATGAAGAAATGGGCTGAGTTCAACCACATTCCACAGACTCCAGATGACCTGGAAATGAGAGAGAGACGAGGAAGGGCTGGTTGGTCCAAAGTGTGGTGAGACCTGAGGACACCTGAGCCTATGGACAAGGACATAGCCCCAGAGGGCTATAGCTGAGAGTGAAGCTTCCAGTTGATATGAAGGAGGCGCACAAGAACACCCAAAGTTGCAGACAGTACCCATTTGACCTAGCCTCAATGGCTTGATTATCAGAACTCAACTAGAGGAAGATTAAAAAAATAAAAGAGAAAACAAAACAATTTTTGATAAAGGAAAGAAGTGTAAATTGCTACAATTTGATTAACTTTATCTATACTTATGGAGGCAGTAACTCTAAATACCAAAAGAGAGGGAAGGAGTCTTAACATCAAGTATCAATGCTATCTATCCCCTCTGTACAGAGGGTAGCCAGGGATGGGTAACTTAGACACTGGCTACCTAAAATGAGGGGATGATAAAGGCACAAAGTGCTGGCTTACAAGGTTCCAAGGTACAGTTTAGTTTAATAATGTGTGTGTGGGGGGGGGGGAAGAGTTTCCACTGAATAGTTTTCATCTTGTATAGATGGGTCTGGTTAAAAGAGATGGGAATAAGATTCTTATGATTCAATAGTGAGCAACTGTTACCATGACTATCTGCAACTGTCACAATTGTAAAGGTAAAAGTTTTGTAACAAAAACAGGGGAGTGGTTAATCTTACAGCCCAGAAACAAAGGACCCTAGGATCATCGAGGGAGAAGAGCACAGGCGGAATGCGAGACTTTATCCAGAGAAGCAGTGATACCAGAGATGGAGGCAGAGATGGAGACATGGAGAGAGGGAGCAGCTGAGGACTCTAGATTCATGGGGAGAGAAGAGAGCCTAAGAGCTGGTGGCCAGGAGGTAGACTTGCAGAATGTGCCCTTCGGTGGTGCAAATTATTATATATGCCTGAGTGTTTTAAAAAAAGAGAGCTAAGGTGAATAAAGAGAAATGCTGTTAACTGATGGTACATGGAGGGGTTTATAATCATTGTAATGAAACAAGGTGCATGATTTTTTTAATGTAAAGTTGATGATCCGTCCTGTAAACTTTCACTTAGTCCACAACAAAAATCTTAAAAAAAAAAAAAAAAAACACGGCAATCACGCACACTTATTCAGAAGTTGTAAGAAAAGTAAAAACTGTACTGGTGAGAAAAAGACCAGCAAAGTTGCACCCAGAAATTATTTTTCTATCATAATGCAACTGGTTCATTTTTTGATGGTAATAAAGACTGTCCTGAGATTTTATTAGGAAACCATACCTCATCTATCCTGAAACCCTGAATTGTGCACCTTCAGACTTCTTGTTTTGTTCCCAAAACTCAAACAACATTGCACAGGAAAACTATTTGAGTCACTCAAGAATGCCAAAACTGCCATTTTTGATGTGATGTAAATTGAAGAGCTGGGGAAAGGTTAGAGAGATGCAAACACTGTCTCATTAAGTGCACAGACCTAGCTGGGTGAAATGTGCAGAAATAATAGCTTCACATTGTGATCTTTTGTTTAACAAAGGTTTCTATGATTTTGTAGCAATACTTTTTGACTTACCCTCTTATTTCAGTATAACTATAAAATTTTAATGAAAATCCAATGGAATGTAAGAACAAATTCAATTTTCTCAAGATGAAAACTACATTAATTATTTTGCTTTCATTAAAATAAACCAGAGCCTACCTTAAAATTACCACCTATAGAAATAAAAGACTAAACAAAAGAGCATGTATAGGTGCACAAAGTACCATAAAGAAGTGAGTCAAAATGAAACCTAGGAAAATGCAATGTGTTACCCAATTGAGCATAAGATGAGTAGATGAAATCAGATTGTCAAATTATTTGTCTACTATGTAAGGCAAAGGAGTCCTGGTGTGGCGCTGTGGGCTAATGTGTCAGACAGCAAAGCTGTTTGAACTGCAAGGTCGGTAGTTCAAGCTCACTAGCTGCTCCTTGGAAATCCTATATAGGGCCGCTAAGGGTCAGAACCGACTCAATGGCACTTAACAACAACAACAATGTAAGGCAGAAGTAGAAATAGCTGACTTATAGATTCAGCCTAACTATACGTAACTTAAAAATTCTAAGGTGATATGAGCATAAAACAGGTAGAATCAATCTACTGTAGGAAGAAGAGAGAAAAACACTTAAGGAAATCAAGTTTATCATAGAATAGGAGAGTTATGCTACATAGGGATAAGAGACAAACATCTAAGTTGTTTCATGATCCAACTATAAAGCTACATTACAATTCAGCGTCTTATGAAAATTAATTTTGATTAGTAGTATTAGAATTGTTTCCAGATTAGAAATGTTACTACAGTTGCTCTTCTCAATTCTAGACCACAATATCCCCAATAATTCACAAATTACTAAATTAAGAAATATTCTCATTTTCTATTTAAATACATAACTATGATCACATGAAATCTTGGATCATTAAAGCACTTCACACCAGTCCTGAACATCATATATGTTTCTCTTAAAGTAGATCAGTATTTTCTACAATTACAAATCAGCTACTGTTTTATGACAATAAAAAATAAAATTCAAAGATTAAATTACTAATATTCTAGTTGAAGCTTACAGATCATTTAGAAGATAATATGGACAATAAAATTTTTCACATCCTCATAATGAGCAATGGCATTGTATACTTAAGTACATATAAAGCATGTAGGAAGCATTAATTTATCTTACAAATATTATAAATATTAATACAATACAATGTAATACAAATACTACACTGCTTATTTATTGTTCTCACCTTTTCCATATAGTTGATACGATTTTGTAAAGATATTAATGACACTATGTGGACTTCCCTTTGCTAATTCTTCCCATGGTCCTTTGCTCTGTGTTTCACTTATGTGCCCAAAAAGTGGCAGGAAATTTTCAGCCTCCTTCTGAAACTCTTTGATTGGTTCATAAGTATTTCTTTCTCCAGCACAAAATTCCTTTTCTTTTAAGACTTCTGCTACCTTCAAAAGGGTCCGCCCATTCCGGCCTCCCTCTTCTTCAGAGAAACTCCCCTCACTAAGAAGTGGCCCCTCACTGATTGAATCTGCACTGGAACCAAGTGACAATTTGGCTTTCTCTTGAGAACAGGCTTGCATATCAGAGCTAGAAGAGTCAGTCTGCCTCTTACACAATTGTGCCAGCAATCCTTCTGGTTTGGGACCCGGGGATCTCATTCTGAAGCTTGATATGGCACTGTGAGGTCTGATCATCTCAGGAAGCTTTTTAAATTCACTCAGGTTGCCTACACCAGGAAGATCATCATCAAAGGTTGCATGAGACACACAAGTTCCCAACATCTTTTGAATTCGGGCCGAGAAAACATCTTCAGTATCTTCTTTCACAGGTGGACTTATAGCTTTGTTCCAAGATCCATCTTCTTGAGGTGCTTGCTGAAGATCACAGTCAGTGCTCCATACTGACCCATAGTTAATATTGGCCCCAGCTAATTTCTTGGCTTCACTTTCAATTCTGCTGGACAAAGAAGCAGCTGTTGCTTTCAAGGCTTCAATACGATCCAGTTTACTCTTATATTGGCTGGCACTAGATTTTTGCAAGGCATCTGGATGAGCAGCTGGTGAGGTCAGATACGTTTGAGGTGTAAAAGTTAATGGTCCTGAAACCATATTATGATTTTTCCTGGTTGGTAAAATAGATTCAAAATCTTTATTCAAAATTCCTACATGTTCTAAACTCAAGAGATGGGAAAGTAAATTTCCAGCTGTTCCAACAAGGGGCTGTGGTTGAGAATGGTGGACTAGTGGGCTCAATCTGTCAGGCTGCATCCATGTAGGTTCCATCAAGTCTCTTCTGGAAATGAAAAGTCACAAAACATTAGTTAACACATAAACTCAAAACAAAGCTCAGTTTTTAAAACTAGTTTTTCTCTGATTATAAGCAAAATGTTGTATAATCATTGGGAAGAGAAAATGGACAGAAAATAAGGATAAAGATTATAAAGACCACTCATACACTGAATAACCTAAGAGCCACTAGTAATATTTCAATTAATGGTTGTTTTTGTTAAGTGCCATCGAGTTGGTTCCAACTCATAGTGACCCTGTATAATGTTTCCAAGGAGTGGCTGGTGGGTTTGAAGCGCCGACCTTGAGGTTACCAGTCCAGTGCTTATCTGCATCGTATATCCTTTCAAATATCTATGTATAGATAATGTTTTGGAGGTAGTGTTTTCACAAAAATGGCATTTATTATACATATACTGTCTGATAAACGCCTTTCTTCAATTAAGATACCATATTTTTTTTAACTACTGACTAAAGAGAAACCATTAAAATCTTTAAAACTTCATGGACAACATTCTTTGTACCTCTGACTCTATACTTACCTTTAAAAGTTGTTTTAGTTAAGTGCCATTGAGTCAGTTCTGACTCATAGTGACCCAGTATAGTGGGTTTGAACCACTAACCTTTAGTTAACAGTCCAGTGCTTATCCTACAGAAGTATTATTTTATAAAAAAGAAATGTTTATGACTAGTAAAATATTAATATAGACATAACACAGAATATACTAATAAACATACTTAATATATGTTGAACACTTACGTTTTATGATGTGACTACTAAAGAAATAAGGCAGTCGTTACATAATTCTACCAAAAATTAATGAACATAAAAAAAGGCTAAACTATGATTATCAACTATGAATACACAATACAGAACAGCATGTCCATAAAATTAAGGCACAGAATTAAGAAGGTCTAGATAACACTATGTATATTTACCCATGTTTCCAGATAGGTGAATATACCCAGTGAACATACAGAAATAAAGGCTGATGTAAACTATTAAGAAAACCCTTAGGTGAATAACATGTTGTTTTGTCCTTAAGTTTATCCATTATGCTTGGATGACAAAGTTATATTTATCAAATTTGCAGGTAACAAAAAGCTAGGAGGTATGGCTAACCCAACAGACGACCAAAGTATGAATCAAAATCATTTGGACAAGGTGCAACCTTAGGCCAAACTAGTATGGAGAAATGTTACGTCCTACAACTAGATCCAAGAAAATCATCTGGAGGAGGGTAGCATGGTGACAAAGGAATTAAAATGCAATGTGTGGTTGAAGAGATGTATGTGTACAAGCTACTTTGGTGAGTAGCAACTGGGACCTTAAAAGCTTGTGAGCAGTCATCTTACGTCTCTGCCCATCCAGAGCAAAGAAGAGTGAAGAAAATCGAAGACAAATGGAAAGAACTGGTCCAAAGGACTAAAAGAGCACACGAACCCCTCTAAGTCCCTGAGACCAAAAGAACTAGATGGTGCCCTGTTACCACTGCCAACCACTCTGAAAGGGATCACAATAGAAGGTCCTGAATAAAGTGGGACAAAAATGTGGAACAAAACTCAAAAACATTAAGAAAAACCAAGATTACTGGTCAGATAGGGACTGGAGGAATCTCAGACAATGGTCATTAGACACACTTCAAACCTGGAATCCTCACCCCATGACAATTTTTAGCTAAACAATAAACAGGCCTTGTTGTTGATATTGTTGTGTGCTGTCGAGTCGGTTCCGACCCATAGCGACCGTGTACAAGGTGAATAATAACACCTGGGATACCCAATCTTTTGAAAAACCAACAACACAATATCAAAAGGGCAGCATTTGCCCAGGGATAAAGCTCAAAGGGCAAGAAAACACAAGAGAAAAGGACAACTGAAAACAGTAAACAAAGGGAGGAACTGGGAAGAATACAATTACAATTTGATGACTGTAATCAATGTCACAAATCAAAATGTAAATATAATTTAACTTCCATGTTCAAAAAGTTATTTTATTTTTTACTTTATCACAAACAACACATTACAACAACAAAACTTTTTAAGGAAAATTTAAGATAAGGTCTTACACATCCCTCAATATGAAAACAAATCGAATTATTTCCTAATCCTTCTTCATGTGTTCACATGTAAAATATAATTTCTCTTTTATAAAAGATAAGATGGACAAATTAGTATGAGTCATGTGAAGAAGTTTTGAATAAGAGTCCTGGTGCAGTGCTGTAGGATAAGCACTGGACTGCTAACCACAACGTTGGCAGTTCAAACCCACCAGCTGCTCCTTGGAAACCCTATACATACAGTCACTGTGCGTCGGAACTGACTCTAAGGCACTTAACAACAAATAAATAAATAAATACCTTTTGAAATTTATTCATCAAAAATACTTTACATATTAATTTTATCATGATCAATTAATTCAAGAAACTTATTGGGTGATTAGTTCAGAGAAGGCAAGAGTGCTTCCAACTGTAGGTAATCTCAGAGAAACTGATACTTACACTGGACACTGAAGGACCTGAAAATTACGTACAAGTATAAGGCTTCAAAGAGTTTCTGGAAAAATTCTATCATCTTTTAATTCCATTTTCCACAAACTTTCTGGAGCCCCAACACAGAGTACAGCGAGGGATAAATAAGTATACAATGTTTAAGTATATATCAGAAGATACTAATTTCTAAGTAAATCTATTTCTGCTCTTTCTCACACTAAAGGTCAGTCAAAAAAATTCAGTTATCACTTTAAGGCCACCATATTAGATTTTCACCACCTGCCTGTCACTGTGTCGTACTGCAGTAGCTAGCATGTTACCATAGTGCTGGAAGCTATGCCACCAGTATTTCAAATATTATCATTTTGAACAGATTTCAGTGGAGCTCCCAGACTAAGAGAGATTAAGAAGAAAGACGTTGAGATCTACTTTTGAAACGTAGCCAGTAAAAACTTTATGGATCACAATAGAATACTTTTTGACTCCCTTGCTTTGGAGAGTTCATCAGTAGGTCAATCACTACAGGAGGACATCATGTTCAGCGAAGTACAGGGCCAATAAGAGAGTAGGACCCTCAGTAAAATGTACCATAGCCACGACAGTGAGCTCAAACATGCTGGCAATTTTGAGGATGATACGGGACCAGACAAAGTTTTATTCTGTTGTATTATGAGATTGCCATGAGTCAGTGTCAATTCAATGGCAGCTAACAACAGCAACATACTAAATTTCAGGGAAAGAAAGAATCTTAGTCATCTCTCACTCTTCCCTTTTTACCTTGTAAGAGGCTGTGGAGGTTCTGATAGAGACATGTCACTACTGGAAGATGCACTTGGGGGACGTTCCTGCACTTTGTTTTCTTTATCAGATTCTCCAGATGGTTGATACCCTGGTCTGGCCTATGAGAAAGGGATATCAAATGTATTTGATTCTTATTACAAAGATATATTCAGGGAGCACATAATAAACATTAAGTTACTTCCATTTAATAAAGATCATAAAATATAGGATTTTTCTTCCTCAAACAAAACCAATTCGAATTTAACTTACCTTAAAATCAGACATTAGAATTAACAGCAAAAACTGCATTTGAAATCCAACACCTAACACTAACTGTGTAGTCTGGAGGAGGTAACAAAGTCTCTTTTACCGAACAAATGAAGATAATAATAGTAGCCACCCTTTTTTGGGGTTGTGAGGATTTACTGACTCTTAAGCCTAACAATATGTGCCATACAGTAAGCAGTCATGCTACTAATCTTAAAAAAATTAGCATTACTCATAAAATTATCACACTAAACTAGGATATTCTCTCATTTCAACATCGGTCACAAACCCAAGTTTTTCATTTACATACTCTAACTTTAGTTTTTTAGTACTAAGAAGAAAACTAGGCAGGGATATAACTCACAGTAGTGACAAAAGAAACAAGATCAGTAATAATCATACTTGGACAATAACTCTTATTTTACTACATTACTCTTCACATACAATAAATTTCATGAGAGGCATCATTATTATAAATACTGTGTGGGCACTGCCTGAATGAATACTAGGAGTGGTGGTTAATTTTTAAATAGCTTTTAAACAAGCTTATCCTACCCATGAATCTCCCCCTCTGGATTTCTGTCCCTACTGTTACCTACCTGTGTTTCCTGTGTAACATGTTGTTGACGAGATGGTTCTTCAAGCAAGGTCTTATCTAGTAACAATTTGGAATAAGTCTCCTGTAGTCGTCTAGTAGTTGATGGCTCAGGAGGAGGCACATTTTTCACTTTAGTAAAGGCTTCTTTTTGTTTCCGGTAGAGTTCTTGTAATCGCTTATTCTTCTGTTCAGTGGCCTCCTTTTGAGCCTTCTTCTCTTCATTTTGCTTTCGCTTCCTCTCTTCCTGTTGTCTAACAATGTACTGTCGCACTTCATCTGTGTCATAGTGGCGCTTTTTAGAAATAACAGGGGGATCTTCATTGGCAGTTATTTTGTCAGGTTTTCTTTTTACTGGGCTGTGACTCCTAGGAGCTTGGACTTGAACAGGTGCTGATAACTTTTGATTCTGTGGCTCTCCAGGCTCTTGTCTTGCTGTCTGAGTTACAGAATCCAGCTGCAAGTCATCAAGAATTCCACGAATTTCAACAGGTAAAAAGTCCTTATTTAAGGCAGTATCTTCCTCCTGTTTGTTATCCGGAAGAGATGGAGCTAATTTCTTTATATTATTCTCGGATCGAGCTCTACTTCTCGAACGTTCTGAGCTCCGTGGAAGACTTCTATGTGAAACATCCAACCTGGGATCAGATTCTGCTCTTCCAATATGAACCCCTGTAAAGTATGAACTATTAATCATGTATTAAAATCCTACATTCATTTCTAAGATTTATTGCACTAAGTACAAAATTAAAGAATTTCACTGTTTTAAATTCAAATTCAAATTTCTTAAAACTAGTCTTCTAATGAGTATTACAGAAAAAAAACAAAGTAGTTACTTTTCTTAGCAGTGAAAGAGAAATTTGAATATTCTGAAAAACTACTACTTTTTTTTTTAATGCATCGTTTAACATTTCTGAAATAAGTGCAGATATTATGGTTGATATATATATTTAATGTTATTATTTCTCTGCTCTCCAACTTTCCCTACAGAAGTTGTTAAAAACTAAATCAACTTTCTTTTATTAGGAAGGCATCCTAATTAGAATTAAGGAAATAGAAAAATAAAAAATACCTTAAGAATCTTAAAAATAATTTTTAAATCTTAAGATCAGACTGCATATGATAAATTCAAGTCACAGTAAGGGCACTGAAAATATTAATTTTTCTGAAAATTCTTTAACACTGATCTATTTCAAAGCAACATGAAATGGTATCATATTTAGTTGAGTTTATTATTAGCGGTGGTTATTGTGGCTATGGAGTACCATCAAGTTCGTTCCAATTTATAGTTACCCTGTATAGGATTTCCAAGAAGCAGCTGGTAGGTTTGAACCACCAACCTTACAGTTAGGAGTCCAGTACTTATCATACAGAGTCACACCAGGAATACTTCTTATTGGTATTTTGTTGTTGTTGTTATTGGTATAGAGAATGATAAAATTGGCGTCTCATGTGGTCATACTGACAGTTTAATAATATCTGCATAAGAAATCTACAAAGATTAAAATCTCACATATTTTTAAAGGCTATTTTAAGTGTGTTGTCAAATTTCCTATTCCCAAAGAGGACAAACTTGAAGAAGAGGTATTTAAAGCATGTAACATTCCCTTCTATTTGAATACTTTCTGCATGTGAACAGGGATTTTATTCTATTCTAAATCCCTAAAGATTAGAGCAGTTCTTGTTACATAATGTTGTTGTTGTTATGTGACGTGGAGTTGGTTCTGACTCATAGAGACCCTGTACAGGGTTTCCGAGGCTGTAAATCTTTACAGGAGCAGAAAGCCTCATCTTACTCCCACGGAACAGGTGGTAGCTTCGAACTGCTGACCTTGAGGTTCACAGCCCAATTCGTAACCACTATGCTACCAGAGCTCCTTTGTTACATAATAAGCACAAATAAATATTTGTTGAGTAAATGAATGAATTTGAAGTCTCCACAATTCCCCAAAGTATGACAAAAAAAATAATGAATTCTATAGACTATCACTGTATCACCTAAATGTTTACTGATGTGACAGCAAGTGGTGAAGAATTAATTTACAAGCTAGATGGAAGTGAAGAGGAACAACTTCAAAGATCTCTATACACCAAATGTTAGCTGTGATTGCACTTCTTACTGAATTCAGTCTAGAAATTCAAAGGAATTGATGCAAGTTTTGCTAAGGAAAAAGAAAGTTGGCCTCTAGGTATTTACAAACTTTCATTTCTAAAAATGAATGTTTATGAAAAGTACCTAGTTATCAAGCAACACCTAAAATGTTTCAAATAGAGAAAAGCATGAACTCAAGGTTCAGACTCAAGAGTTCTGAATCTTTAATCAAATTCTACCACCACAAACTATACCCTTGAGAAAACTCACTTCTTACACATCAGTTGCTCCATGAGAAAGAGATGTGGCAGTCAGATTTGTTAAGTGTCAATCCTGACTCATAGTGACCCTGTACAGGGTTTTTAAGGAGCAGCTGGTAGGTTTGCACTGCTGATCTTCTGGTTTGCAGGCTAGTGCTTATCTGACAGCGCCACATCAAAAGTCTTCCATAAAGATTTACAATCTTGGAAACCCTATGAGGCAGTTCTCCTCCGTCCTACAGGATCACTTGACATAAATGGGTTTGGTTTAAGTATATAAATAATTTGTGTTTATTCCTCCCAACAATTTTGTCTTCCTTACAATTTTAATTATAGCTGCTCACCAGATTTAGTAGTTCTTTCTCTTCCACTTCTGTCACTTGATACTGTTCTTCGCTCCTTTTGTTCCATTCTGGGTGCAGGTCCTAGGATCTTCTTTACTAATTTTTGTCCATCTCTCCAAGAAGATGTACTTATTAGACGACTACTACCTAAAAAATATATACTGCATTAAATATAAAGCTTGTGCAGCAATTTATAGTCTAATCTAAGAGTATTTAGTCAGCTACAGCTTTTGCAATTAGTCTTATGCTCATCTTCTACCAAAGTCAAAAGGTTTAGAATAGAATTTTATTTTTAATCCTAAACCTCCAAAACCAATTAAGAGCTTGTTTAAGTCAGGATTTATCCACATATTTAATGTATAAAATACTTTGAAAGTTAAAACCACGTATTAATGATGCCTCAAAATATCAAAAGCTAAGGCATCAAACTAATAATTTTGACACAGAACAAAACATATCTAACTATAATAAGTGTTTGGCTTACCAATATCTGGCATTGTACCTACACATGGTAAAATGAATAAATGACTGAACTGAAGCATAGGAAAAAGTCTGAGGAAACACTTAACATGATTTAAAAAGGGATTACTACAGGGGCTTTCATATTATATTTTACAGATATGTATAAGGAGCTCTGGTAGCTTAGTGGTTACGAATCGGGCTGCGAGCCTTAAGGTCAGCGGTTCGAAACTACCAGCCGCTCCGCGGGAGAAAGATGAGGCTTTCTACTCCCGTAAAGATTTACACCCTCGGAAACCCTGTACAGGGTCGCTATGGGTCGGAACCGACTCGATGGCACTTAACAACAACAACAACAATGTATATATATATATATATATATATATATATATATACACACACACACTACCTTTTTATGAATAAAACAACAGCATTAAAAATACATAAGCATCAACATTTTAACAGTTAATAATACTATAAATCCTGCCAATTATAAAAGTTCATAAAAACATGAATTTATTACAATAAATACAGCTGATTCCTAGAACAACTTTTCATTTACTGTTGCAGTTGTTAAGTGCCATCAAGTCAGTTCTGACTCATAGTGACTCTGTATAGGATTTCCAAGGCTTTTAAAATCTTTGCAGGAGCAGAAAGCCTCATTTTTCTCCAGCTGAGTGACACGCCAATGCTTATCATACGGAGCCACCGTGCTCCCTTTAATTTACTAGTGCCAGATCATTAGAAAATTAAAATTAGACACCATCTCAAAACAGACAGTAACCTAAAAACAACAAATGACATGAAAGACTATAAAACCGAAACAGAAAACATAAACATGGAGTAAACACGTAAAAAATTTTAGATACAAAGTTAATTTAAGAAATGGAATGAAAATAAAAGTGAAATAGCACTTTAAGTATAATTAAATTAGAAGAATATTTGTACATTAACAGCCAATACTAATAAAATTACAGTAAAGTCATCCTACTTAAATACTTTTTGTTGAAATATAAATGGGCATAGGTTTCTTTAAAAAAGAAAAAATTATAGTATTATGTACTAGGACCCCAAGAGTATTCATCCCCCTTGATCAAAGAACTAAGAGAAATAATCCAAAAGAAAAGAAAATAAATTAAAAGAGCCCTCATATATGGCACTGTGGGCTAATGCGACAGGCTGCAAAGTTGTTTGAACTACATGGTCGGTGGTTCAAGCTCACCAGCTGCTCCTTGGAAACCCTATACAGGGTTGCTATGGGTCAGAACCAACTTGATGGCACTTAACAACAACAAATCATTTTTTTAAAATATCATATATAATTTAAATATTGAAGAATGGTGCATAATTAAAAGTATGTATCTATTAGACGCAGTACTGTGGGGCCATTTCATATTACAAGTTCCATATGTCTTGGGAAAAGATGCTATCAGAAAGTGATAAAATTTTATGTATACTATGATTATATTCACGTTATTACTGCAATTTTGAAATTACTGAAAGGTAATACATAATATTGTTTATATACTATTTGCCAGGTGGTGGCTTTATATTTTCCACTATTTTTCAAGTTCTCTAGAATTTTATAATAAAATTATAATATTTATAATTTATAATAAAAAGCACTTCAAATAAAAAGCATCCCTTTTAGAGTTTCTAAAAAAAGAGGGGGGCTTTAATTTAAAAGTTCAAACACAAGTAAAGTTGTGTTTATAATAGAAAGGTTGATTACAAATGTGTGCTGTCTACTTTCAAAAAAATGTTTCTGCATGTTGTTGAACTGTCTCTTTAAAATACTAAGAGTTTTCAGTGTATTGCTCAGTCTATTTATAAGAAGTTAAGTTCTTATATTTATAAGAAGTTATGTTCTTATAAACAGACTGAGCAATAATGACAGAACAGACTTCTCTTCAATTCCTGAATCAAAAGCAGGCAATCATGAATATACTGTGTAGATATTTATAAATATTGGCTCCTGGATTCTTTCTAAATTCTGGTTGTCTGAAAAAGTCTCATACAGTAGTCATTAGTAGAAAAAGAGGACTTTCATTATAGACACACTATTAATAGCACAGTTAGTAACTGTCTAGGTCACTGCCATAGTGTGTAAGTGGGAATTAGCCTACCATAATAAAACTGGATAAATACATGATCAGTGTTCCTAAGTTATAGTGGTCCCTGTGCTTCATTCCAAAGTCTGCCCCTAACACAACAGTATTCAATAATATTCAAACAATACTTTTCTTAAATCTAAGAACTAGCTTAGTCTACATTCAGTCAATATTCCAAAAAAATTTTATTTTTTTATTTTCATACAGCAGGGTCACTCTATTATGCCATCTAGAGTTAAAAATGGATATCACAAAGTATGTAACTTATCTTTTGATTGATACACTAGGTCTCTGGGATGACAAAATGGTTGGCACTTGACTACTGATTTACAGATTAATGGTCTGAGCTTGCCCAGTAGTGCCAGGGAACAAAGGCCTAGAAATCAACTACTATAAAGATTGTTGTTGTTGTTGTTGTTAAGTGCTGTCAAGTCGATGCTGATCCATAGTGACCCTGTATAGGGTTTCCAAGGAGCAGCTTGTGAGCTTGAACCGCCGATCTTGTAGTTCAAATGGCTTTGCAGTCTGGCGCATTAACCCACAGTGCCACACCAGGACTCCACTGTACCAATTACAGCCTAGAAAACCCTGTAGAGCAGTTCTACTGTGTAACCCACACAGGTTCATCACGAATCAGAGTCGCCTTGATAAAAAAAGAGTCCTGCAATTTTTACTGATCAGTCTATAAAAAGAAAATCCAGTGTTTGATCACTACTGTTTAGTGTTGCCCTCAAACCTTTCACAGCCTATCATAGCATCGTCCACTTTACTGTAACTGCTAATACAACTATTTGCTGACAAGATTCTAAGCTCCAAGAGGGCAGGAACTGTCTTCATGTTGCTTACCAATGTATCACATGGTACCTCAGATATTGTAAGTGCTCAAAAATAATTATGCAGTGAATTCATGAATGACTGATTCAGAATGCCTCCAAACTGAAAACGGCAAATGCCCAACTTTCTGTACTCACTCTTGGTTCAAATTACTCACTGACAAGACTATAATACTAAATAGCCATTTTAGTATAGCTAGAAATAAAACTATTGTTAGTGGAATCACAGCTAGCGTTTGCATGCTTACCACGTGCCAGGCCACACACTGGGTGCTTTTAAGTATTAAACTCTTTCGTTTTCACAAGACTGCGCTGCTGTCACAATAAGCGCTGCTGCTTTCCCTTCTTACATTTGGGGAAACTAAGGCACAGCAACCCATGACAAAGGCAATCTGGATCCAGACTGCAATGTTAATCACTATGGAACTAGGAAATTCTCTTCTTCCAGAAATGATCCATTCACAGTCTGACTGTGGTAACTCTGCTGTGCATTAATTACTCTCTCATGAAAGAAGGTGAAGGAACTGTGACAATCAGGAGCAATCCCCTTATATATGAAACTTACTACATAAAAAGCCTTGGCTTTACTCTGGTTTGTCTCTGTTAATAATAATTAGTGAAAGAAGAAAAACTTTGGGGGGTGATACACCATTACTCCATATGGTGAAAAAATAACTCACATATGATGAACATATAATTTCACAGATATATACAGATATGAAAACTTATCAAACTGTACACTAAATATGCAGTTTATTCTATGTCAATTACACCTCAACAGAGCAGACATAAACATGCAAAAAATTAAAAAGAAAATGTACTGAGTTTTCATATGTGCCAAAAATAAGAACATTTGATAACAGGTATTTATATTTATATACATGTTATTTCAGTAATATGCAAATCTAAGGAGGACATGATCTTGAGAAAACTAACCTGTTTTGCATTCTAGGCTTGACAACTGCGTTGCCTTTTGGACTTTTCGAACTGGTTTGACCACTTTCTTCTCTTTACCTTTTTCAGCAGGTTTTTCTTTTATAGAGACATCATCTGGAAAACACAAATATTTATAGCAAATACAGTGACAATTCCTACACTACCACTAACCCTCCCCACTGTAGGAAAAATCAGTATAAATTCTATGATTTGGATAGGAAGAAATCTTCCCTGAAGCTATTTTTATGGCCCATTACAAGCTACCAATGCTAACTTCTCTTATATAGAATCTAAAGATTAGTACTACTCCACTTCCAGGTTCCATTTACTTTGTTCTTTTTACTGATTTACTTAGGAAATCATTGAGAAGTTTGTCTCATTTCATAAATGGGAAGAAACTGCAGTTGTACGGCTTTCCAAGTCACGATCACAGCATTCGAAGAATCTCAGGTGAGCAGTTTCACAGCCTTCTAATCCATTTTAAATGCCTATGTAACTGAGCTACCCATGAACCTCTAGAATAAAGCTTCATAAAATTTTATGTCAATATCCCTATAATGTTGTTGTTTTGAAGCTAGATATCATCAAGTCGGTTCTGACCCATAGTGACCCTAAGCACAACAGAACAAAGCACTATGGCCCTGCCCCATGCTCACAACTATTGTTAAACTTAATTAAGCCCAATGCTGCTGCCACTATGTGTATAACCCACCTCTTTGGGGGTCTTCCTCTTTTTCATTCACCCTCCACTTTACCAAGCATGAGGTCCTTCTCCAAGGACTGGTCCCTCCTGATAATATGTCTGAAGTATGAGAACGAAGTCTCACCATCCTTGCTTCTAACGAGTATTCCCTAGGTTAGGTCCATTTATAAGAATGCTAGAGAAACAGGCCAAGGTATTTTACATATAAATTACTATTAACTAATTTTTTTTAAAAATTTCAACCTAAGGAAATGTACTGACTACATATGTAAACTCTAAAAACATATTAACCTCAACCACAGATCTAAATAAATGTATTTTTAAATACATATAGAGTTCTGAATTCTGGGCAAAGTCAAAGTAAGTATAAGTAAAATGTTTTAAGGTAGGAGCACACCTAGTATCCAAAAAATAGTAAGGAGGCCAGTGTAGGTGACATGGACAAAGAGAAAAGTAATAGGAACTAGTATCAGAGACATAACTTAGGGTCAGATCATATAGGGCTTTGTAGGTGATTGTAAAAAATTCAGCTTTTATTCAAGACTGAGAAACAAGTTTTTGGGTGATAAAGTTTCACATACTGTAACTTGTAATGAGAATACACTGGAAGACACAAGGGCAAAAGCAGTGAGACTAGTTAGAAGGCTACTGCAGTAACACAGGCAAGGGATTGAAGGTAGCTTAGACGAGATTACAGTGAAGGAGGTGGTAAAAGTAATGATATTCTGATATATTTCAGATAAGATTAAATATAAATGATAAGAAAAATACAAGGGTGACCAAGATCTTGGATATGAATAATTAGAAATATATGATTAACAGAGATGGAGCGACTAAAGAATAGGTTTAAAGGGTATATCATGAGCTCCAGTTTGATTATACTATGCTTGAAAACTCTAATATATATCCAAGGGAAATATACAGTTAGGAGTCTGAGCTCAGGGGAGAAATCTGAGCTAGCCAACTTAAATATGGGAAGCACCTACAGTAGAGAATATTTAAAATCTTCACACTCGGTAAACTGACTTCGCTTGTTGTTTGTTGCTAAGTGTCATCGAGTTGGCTCCAACTGTATGTTTCCAAGGAATGGCTGGTGAGACTGAACCACTGGCCTTGTGGTTAAAATTGACCTTGCAGTTGGCTTAGTAGGAATGTATTTTTTAAAAAAGATCTAATTATTAAGGTCAGGACATGCCAATGTTTACATATCAGAGATTTAAACAAACCCACACCACTGCCTCTGAGTCAATTCTAACTCATAGTGAGTCTATGTACGGTTTCCAAAACTGTAACTCTTTATGTGAACAGATGCCTCTTCTAGTGGGTTTGGACCAGGAACAGCTAGTGGTTTTGAACCACTAATCTTGCAGTTAGCAGCCCAATGCCTAACCCACATCATCACCAGGGCTCCTTGGGATTTGATTAGGACAAACAAAATTTAAAAAGGTAAAACTAAACTTAGGAAAACCACATCAGAATTAACCTGACGGCATTTAACAGAAAGATATTGTCAGAAGGAGCCCAGGTAGTGCAGTGGTTAAGCACTTGGCTGCTAACCAAAATCCATCTGCTTCTCTGTGGAAGAAAATTTTAACAGTCCACTTCCATAAAGATTTACAGTCTTGGAAACCCTACAAGGTAGTTCTGGACAAGACTCAGCGGCAAGGGGGGCAGAGAGGTACTTTAAGAACATGACATTAGGATTGGTGGAAGACTCATTAACAACTTGCACTATACAGTGACACCGTTTGCTTGCTCAAAGTGAAGATGACTTGAAGAACTTACCGATGTAAGTCAAATATCAGGTTTTAGTATGGATTATGTTGTTGTTGTTAAGTGACATCGAGTCAGTTCCGACTCATAGCAACCCTGTACAGGGTTTCCAAGGAAGAGCTAGTGAACTTGAACCAGTGACCTTGTGATTCAAACTGACTTTGCAGTCCAGTCCATTAACCTACAGCGCCACCCCAGTACTCTAGTATGGATATAATCCAGTTCAGGAATAATCCATACTTATGGATTATACCTGAACATAAAGAAAAGTCTCACAACTAGACCAATAATCAGTATTATGATAAACAGTGACACATTTGAAGTTGTCAAGGATTTCACAACATTTGGATCAACATTCAATGCCCATGGAAGCAGCAATTAAGAAATCAAATGACATACTGCACTGAGCAAATTTGCTGCAAAAGGCCTCTTTTAAAAGTACTAAAAAGCAAAGATGTCACTTTGAGGACTAAGATGAACCTGACCCAAAGCATGTGCTTTTTTTCCATTTGAAAGCTGGAAAATGAAAAAAAGAAAACAAAAGAAGAAATGATGCGTTTGAATGGCAGTGTTGGCAAAGGATACTGAATGAACTGCCAGAAAAATACAAGGGTGAGTCAAAAATTATCCACACTCTGGCTGTAGAATTTATTTTAATAAACTTTTAGAACAGACAAATCTTTTTCGACACAATCTCCTTGCTTTTCAATATACTATGTCCATCTGCAACAAGCTTTCCTATTCCCTTATTTAAAAATGTTTTAGGCTGAGATGGAGCCACAAATGCACCACTGTCTTCACTTCTTCATCTGAGGTGAATTTTCATCCTTGAAGGGCTGGTTTCAGGAGACCAAACAGGTGAAAAATCAATGAAGCAAGATCAGTACTATAGGGAAGATACTTTACCACCACAAAACAAAATTTTTGCAGAGGGTCAACAGTGTGGGCAGACGTGTACAGATGTGTACTGTCATGCAAGATCACAACGCCCTTGGATAGCAGTCCTCTGCATTTAATCTGAAGTTTAGGCTTCAGTTATTCAGTGAGCATCTCACTGTAATGAGCACTGTTGATTGTTGAACCTTTTTCTTGATAGTGTTCCACTATTGGCCCTTGAGAATCCCAGCAAACTGTAGATGGCTGACCTTTGAACTTTTTCTTGGTCAGTGATTGAGAATGTTTCCATTCCATATTCTGCCATTTATGCTGAGGCTCATACTGATGAATCTATGTCTCATCTCCAATAACGATTTTTTTTAAAGAAACTTCTACATTTCTTTGAGCATCAGTACAAATTTTGTTTGCAGATGTCCAAACACAGCTATTTATGCTCTTCCATGAGTTGTTTTGGTACCCAATTCACAAAAACTTTTTGAAGCCAAATCAGACATGGATTATTTCATAGGCAGAACCATGACTGTCTATTCGACAGAATCATTTCATGTGCCCACTCAACGTTGTCATAAGCCATGGATGTGGACGGTCGTTTTAACATAACTGAGTGGGGCTAATTTTTGACTCACCTTCACATAACTGGAATGGTCCCTAGAAGCGAGAATGATGAAACTTTGTCTTACTCACTTTGGACATGTTATCACATAAAACCAACCACTAGAAAAAGACACCATGTTTGAGAAAGTAGAGGATCAAGGAAAACCTTCAATAAGATAAATGGATTGACATAATTGTCGCAACAATGGGCTCAAATATATCAAAGATCATAGAATTGGGGTAGGACCAGGCAACATTTCATTCTGTTATACATAAAGGTCATCATGCGTCAGATCCAACAATTAACAACAAGTATCAAGTAAAGATGTTCCAGGAAAAAATGAACATCAATTCAAATGCTGTTGAGAGATCAAGTAAGATGACAAATGAAAAAGAAAAGTTAGGTTTAGCCTTGTAGAAGTCCTTAATGATCTTGGTAACAGTCTATAGAGAAATAGGTTCAATAATAATAGAAAAGATTCAAGAGAGAAAGGGAAGAGAAAAATTAGATGCACCGAGTATAAGGCAACTTTCTGTAGTTTTGTTGTACAACAAAGAGGACCAATAGTTGGAGGGAGAAGCACAGATTCTCTTAGATAGCTGAGATAACAATTTGCTATTGACAGTGTGGTGATGGACAAAAATGGATAGAAAACGAAAACTTGATGCAAAAGAAAAGAAACAAGTATTGAAGTAATGTCTTTAAATACACAAGAGCAAATGGTATCTAACCACAAGTAGAGGGACTGTTTTTAGGTAGCAGCACAGAGTCCATCTACCATAACAAGAAAGAAGGCAGAAACAGGCATATTTCTTTAAGTTTCTTTCATGAATCTCATTCTGCTAGTCTACAATGATATTATCCTATGAGGTATTACTATTATTATTCCTATTTACAGATTAGAAAAACAAGGAAGAAAAGCCATATAATACAGCTAAATATACACAGCTAGTAAGTGGAAATCTTGCTGTGGCACTGTAGGATAAATACAGGTATGCTAACCCTTAGGTCAGTGGTTCAAACCCACCAACCACTCACTGGAAACTCTATATAGGTCTCTCTATAAGTCAGAACTGACTCAATGGCACTTAACAAGCGACAGAGCCAGAACTTTAACACTTGTACAATGGTTCTAAAGTCATTGTTCTTATTATTACATTATACAATCTCATCAGATGAGAAAAAAAACAAGCACACAAAAAAATTCTGAACAGTGTTCCAAAAATAGCAGTAATGAAACTAGACTGGATATTTAATAACATAGACTGTATTAGTAGAATCTTTATAATAGTTACTAGAAAGACCTCAGACTTTAGAATCTGAGATGGCTTTGAATCCTGACTTCAATTCTTAACTACTTTATGCAACCCTAGGCAAATTACTCTTCAAGTGTAAAAAATGCAGAAAATTAAGCACTCAGCGTCTTGCCCCAAATCATACTAGTATGCTCAATATGTACTCTCATTATTATGATGACCTTCTGTTTCACACTTCCTATCTTCCACAGGAGTCCTGGTGTGGTGCTGTGGGTTAATATGCTGGACTGCAACACCAGTTTGAATTGTTAAGATCAGTGGTTCAAGCTAACCAGCTGCTCCTCAGAAACCCTATTTGTTGTTGTTGTTGTTATGTGCTGTGGAGTCGGTTCCGACTCATAGCAACCCTGTACAGGGTTTCCGAGGCTGTAAATATTTATGGGAGCAGAAAGCCTCATCTTTCTCCCACGGAACAGCTGGAAGTTTCGAATTGCTGACCTTGCAGTTCACAGCCCAATTCGTAACCACTACACTACCAGAGCTCCTTCAGAAACCCTGTTGTTAAGTGCCGTCCAATTGGTTCCAACCAATAGCCATCCTGTACAGAAATCCTATACAGGATAGCTATTGGTTGGAACCAACTGGACGTCACTTAACAACAACAACATGATGGCTGGAACTGCAGTTGTCTGGCAGGGCCAGACCAAATGATTTCATAGGCCTTATAAGGCCCACAGACACGACGATCTCCACCCCTGGCCTTTAGGGTCCCTATGTGATGGAACCCACTCTATGACACTTAACAACAACATCATCTTCCATAGGTCTATTTCCAGTTCTCTAACCTTATTCCCTTTCTGTAATGCTCACTTTTTTTCCTGCATCTTACCCTCACGTGAGTATCAAATCTGCAGCCTGCCAAATTACTGACCTCTTGACAGATCTCTGAAACTAGGTAGAAGAGAATTTCATCGAAACTAGTAACCAAATCTGGCAGGCCTGACTCCAAAAGCACATCAGTTTAAAAATAGCCTGGTTTCTGTCTTATCAGCCATACAAGCTAATTTAAACACCGGAGCAAAGCCTAGACACGGCTTAGAAAGCTTTACAACTGAAACCATTAATACTTTAGTATACCATGCAGTTAGGAAGGGAAAATAATTTTAGTTATGTGACAACTTTATGTTTAAACATTATAAATTAGATGGAATGAATAATAAAATACTCTCACCTGCAAAATGTAATGCTAAGTCTTGATATAATTCTCTACTCATGTTTTGAAACTCAGCCTCCTGCCATACTTTCCCATCAGGGGTTCGAATCTTGGTTTCTGAAGGGTTGAAGCCTAATATATAACAATAATACAAAAACATTCTTAACAAAGTTGCTTTATAAATTTGTTTTTTATACACTGTTTAAAATTTGGGATTTCATTAACAAATCATAAAATTCACTTCACTCTTTTAAAAAGGTACAACTCAATGATTTTTAAGGTTATCACAAAGTTCTGCAACTACTGTTGTTGTTAAGTACCGTGTTCCGACTCACAGTGACCCTACACAGGGTTTCCGAGGCTGCAAATCTTTATCGGAGCAGAAAGCCTCATCTTTCTCCCACAGGACAGCTGGTAGTTTCTAACTGCCAATCTTGAAGTTCGCAGCCCAATTCGTAAGGAGCTCTGCAACTATTACCACTACCCTAAATTCCACACCCTATCACAGTTACTCCCACCCTTCCAGTCCTTGACAACCTCTAATCTATTTTCTATGTATTTGCCTATTCTAGACATTTAAAATAAATTAAATCATACAATATGTGTACCCTTTTGTGTCTGACTTCTTTCAGTTAATAATGATATCAAAGTTTATCCATATTGTACCATATATCAGTATTTCATTCCTTTTTATGGCTGAATGCTATTCTACTATATAAATGTATCACATTTTGGTTAGCCATTCATCAGATCATGAGCATTTAAGTTGTTCCTATTTTTGGGTTATATTGAATAATACTGTTATGAACACTTGAGTTTAAGTTTTTATATTGACATATGTTTTCAATTCCCTTGAGTTGGAATTGCAATGTCATTTAATAATTCTATGTTTAACTTTCTGAGGAATTGCTGGACTGGTTTCCAAAGTGGCTATACCATTTTACATTCTCACTAGCAATGTAAGAGGATTCCAATTTCTGCATATCCTAGTCAACAACTGTTATTGTCTATCTCTTTTTGTTTTAACACCTTATTTGGTGTGAAGTGGTATCTCACTGGGGTTTTGAGTCCTGGTGTCGTGCTGTGGGCTAATGCATCAGACTACAAAGTCGTTTGAACTGCAAGGTCAGTGGTTCAAGTTCACCAGCTTCTCTTGGAAACCCTATACAGGGTCGCTATTTTGGAATCGACTCAATGGCACTTAACAACAACAAAAAAGAAAAAGGACAGCATGGTGGCTCTGTATAAGCACTAGACTGCAAACCACGAGGTTGGCAGTTTGAGCCCAGCAACTGCTGCATGAGAGAAAGATGAAGCTTTTTGCTACCACAGAGATTTACAGCCTCAGAAACCCTATAAAGGGTTGCTATAAGTTGGAACCAACTCGAAGGCGTTTAATAGCAACAAATAATAATAATAATTTTTAAAAATGAAAGCATAATTAGCTACCAATTAATTGTTTGGAAAAAAGTAAGCTTCTGCAAGGTAAAGCAATATACATTCATATAAAAGACTGGAAATAGTGAAGCACTATAATGCAATGTCAATAATTAGTTATGGATTTCCAAGAAAAAAGACTACTCTTTTTCAGCATTTAAGAAGTGACTCGTCTTTTATTTGAAGACAGATGTTAACTGCCACCATCTGTCTGCTTTTCCTATGGCTGAACAAACACGAAAAACTGTTGTCTATATAGGCAAAATGTACCTCAAGTGTGCAAAACAGGTCTTTAAGACACATATGATCTCTGTCTCAAGAAACACACAAATGCCATTTCCTAGGAATTACTATTCAGAATTACCATTTAAAATTTATTGTGATTCTTTAAGAAATGCATTGAATTTGGAATCTTATTTTGCAAAGTAATAAACTAATAAATATCAAGGATATGTAAAATATATAATTTATATAAATATAATATTTAAAGATGGGTTTAGTTTATCAAAGAACACCAGACACATACACACGAGATAGTGTGGACTTCTGGACAAATACTGAAGTTTAAATCTGGAAATTGCTTTGCAATACAAATTATTTTATAATACATATTTTGTCAGCTAAAGGCAAGAAAAATGAAAAAATTCTGAATATCTGGCTTCAAATTATACTGATTCCATTACTAATTTATTCTTTTCTCTCTTTTATCTTCTCATAGCATTAACTTGTCACAGCACTTATCACCTTATATTCACTACCATTCTTTCTGTACTTAAAGTGATTTTAAGAAATGAATCCTTATTTATAAGTATTACTCAGTGTTCCTTGCAAAAAACTGGTAACTAATAAATATTTGTAAAATTAAATCAATGTATAAAATAGGCTGAATCAGAAACTGGCAAAAGCACTTACAGATGTTAGGTAAACAGGTACTAGTATCTTAATTACCATGTCTATCTTGCTCTTAAACACAATTGTTGCTGTTGAGTGCTGTCAAGTCTGTTCTGACCCATAGTGACCCTGTATAGCGTTTCCTAGGAGTAGCTGGTGAATCTGAACTGCCAACCTTTTGGATTAAACTGACTTGTCAGTCCAGTACATTAACCCACAGCGCCACACCAGGACTACTCCTTAAGCACAACTGTTGTTAAGTGCTGTCAAGTCGATTCCGACCCATAGCAACCCTGTATAGGGTTTCCAAAGAGCAGTTGGTGAGCTTGAACCGCTGACCTTGCAGTTCAAATGGATTTGCAGTCTGGTGCATTAACCCACAGTGCCACAACAACAATAGTTTAATTTCACCTGACATTTGTGGCAAATGGCATACATCTACGGAGAGCATAGAGACGCCATACAATAAGCACTGGACTGCTAACCACAATGTCCACATTTCAAGTCTACCCGCTACTCCCTGGGACAAAGATGAGGCTTTCTGTTCCTGCAAAGATTTAAAAGGCTTGGAAATCCTATGTAGGGTTGCTACGAGTCAGAACCAACTCAAAGGCACCTAACAACAACAACGCCTATTTAAGGAAAAAATATATGCACAGCCTTTAGTCTATGATAAAATACAGTTTATTGTAAGAACGTGTGAAAATTCCATGCAGCTTTACTTTTAACTTTTCTCTTCACAACTATGTTCACCCCATTTCTCTACATTTGATCCTAGGCTTTTTCCTCCTATATTCTTTAGAGGACATTTTGTTCTTATGGGATTTTTCTATGTACTTGCATCTTTACTTGTATGTTAACTGTAAGAAGTTTTCAATATCTATATCAGTTTCTCTTTATTTGTTTTCATGCCTTTATTTCCTCTTTTTTTTTTTTAGCTTTTTTTTTTTAAGCTGGTAAAATTTTACTGAAGGACTCCTAGTGTGGCAGTGTAGGATCAGCCCTGAACTTCAAATCACAAGATCAGCAGTTCAAACCCACCAACTGTTCCTTGGGGACCCTATACAAGGTCGCTATGAGTCTGAACCAACTCAACAGCATACAATAAAATTTACTGATGGAGCCCCTTGTGGCATAGTGGTTTACACATTAGGCTGCTAACTGCAAGGTCAGCAATTTGAGTCCACACTGCTGCTTTCTGCTCCCATAACGATTTACAGCCTTGGAAATCCTATATAGGTTGCTATGCGTTGGAACAAACCCAAAGCACTTAACAGCAACAAACAAGAATGAAAGAGGAATGTATAATTAGCTACCACATAATGTGCTAACAAATACTGTTTAGACAAAGTTAAGCTTCTGCAAAATAAAACCTATTTGCTAAAAAGATTCATGAGTCCGAACTGACTCAAAGGCAACAACCACCACCAAATTTACTGACTAAATAAAGAATTTACTGTGCACCTACTTAAATCCAGGGGAACATAAGGATGGGTAAGATAGCTGTTTATCGTCATGGGTATTTATAGAAAAAAGATATGCAAGCAACTAACTATAATACAACTAAGAAACACATAAACACTCTTCATGCTTATCTACTTCGAATTTCAAAACAGAAAAACAGAATATTTTGTATGCTTCTTTTAAAAAAGGAGAGAAAATAACAATGAAAACCCAAGTGCAGAATACTGGTTAGTATGCTGGTAATTGTATTAAAAAAAGAGGATATATACATACACACACTTTTACTGGCTTGTGTATGTAAAAAGATCTCAGGTAGGATACATAAATTGCCAATACAAATAACTTCCAGAAAGGGAGCCAAGTGATTGAAGCCCAAGAGTGACAAACACTTTTCAAAGCATAACCTATTTTAGCTTTTGAGTTGTGAACCAAGTGAATTTATTATAAAATCAGAACAAATTTAAATGGTACTTTACAACACAGCTTTACACAAGCTGACAGAAAAACAGTTCTTCACTGTTGGAAAAAAATACATCCATTGCTTAGGACACTGATTTCTAAATTGTATGCCACATATAGTGAAATAATTCCCCAAAAGTTTTATTTATAAAGTAGTTTAATATGAATTTTAGCAAGTTGAAAAACTAGTAAAGGAATATGCAAAACCCAATGACTGGCTATAAAAAAAAGTTATATTTAAGTTTTTATTCTGGTTCTTTAAGTTTTTATTTTTAGTTTTTATAACTTATTAAATATGAATTCAAATCAACCACCTTAACTTTGTCTACATGGTATATTATTTCTGACTTGTGAAATGAACTAATCGTAAAGCGCATAATCTGCATTTAATAGATATGAGGTAAGTGTAGCAAGGGTTTTGAATAATCACTATCTTGAAACCAACAAGAACATTTTGACCCTACCATTTGCTATTTGTTCTGACAACAGTGTAAACAATTATTACATGGTACACAGATGACTAAAAGGATATGAGAGAATTGTATTAATATATTAAATATCACTACTGGACTACAGAGTCATTCTTAAATATTCTATAGGGAATTGCTCAGAGTATTATCACAGAATGGCTAGAATGAAATGTAAATTATCCATTAGTTATCTAATTCATAATAATATCACTAGCAGGACATAATAAGCAACGCAAAATAAAACATCTGCTAAAATGGCACATAGCAAGATTTGCTATAGGAAAAGTTTTTGGTAGAAAAACACAGACTACAGCAACACTATCATTAATTTGTTAGTGACTTAAACTGACTAAAGTAACAAATTTTGACAAAACTTTTATCTGCTTAGGTTCACCAACAAGAAACTAAGCTTGGAGGAAATGTCCACAAACAAAAAGCTATAATGGAAAAGTTTTAACGATAAAAGTCTAACATGGGCAAAAATTGATCAATTAACCTCACTGAAAATTTTATATGAGTAACCCTATGAAAATAATTTCAGAACATGAAAATAAAAATTAAAAACTATCAACTCCTTAAACCTATCATATCTAAAACTTTGAAGTTTCCTTTTTAAAAAAAAGTTCTGGAAAGTATTTTCTCAACAAAAAATGTATCAATGTTGGTATAAATCTGATTTAAATCTTTGTTTTCTTAAATGTGGCTGGACGGGGGGGGGGAGGTGGCCTTGGTGTCAAACTAATGGTCAAATAGCAATAGGGTCACCATGTCCATGACAAAGTATGTTGTTGTTGTTGTTAAGTGCCGTCAAGTCAGTTCCAACTCGTAGCAGCCCTGTATAGGGTTTCTGAGGAGGGGCTGGTGAGACTGAACCGCTGACCTTGCAGTTTAGACTAACCTTGTAGTCCAGTTCTTTATCCTACAGCCCCACACCAGGAATCCACACCAAAATATGAGGGTAAATCAGAGTATTGCTACCAGGGTTCCAGTTCATTCATATATGCGCTAGTTTATTCCAAAGAAAAAAATTTTATTACACATATCTCTGCAATCAGCAGGTGCCTGCAGACAAGTTCTCTCAGTAATGTAACTGGTCTTAATCTTATTAGAGTGCCTCTAAAAAAAAAAGATAGATACTTTTTATGCCATGGTAAAAAGCAATTTTGAGGTCAGGATGAATACTTGGGTACAGAATTTTAACAAAACTCAAGCGAACATCTTCCAAAATTATTGAAGCTTTGCAACAAGTTTAGGGGAAAACTTCAACACATAAAACAATAGTTCTAAGATGGATCAAGCATTTTAAAGAAGTTCGTGAAGACATCAAAGATGAATTCAAGGCAGAGAGGTCAGCATAGAAGGCTATGGCAATGGTTTTTTGGATTCCAAAGGGATAATCTTGATAGATTTTCTAAAAGGACACAGGACAATCACATGGGCTTGTTAAGAAGAAATTTTAAGAAACGGGAAAAACTGCATTGGTGAGGAAGAGGTGCAAAACGTTACACCAAGGCTTTTTTTTTTTTTTTTCAACTATGACAATGTACCAGCTCATTCTTTGATGATATCCAGAAAATCTTTACCAAAAGTTCTTTGGGAAACCTTACCCCATCCACCTTACAGTTCTGAGCTTATCCCTTCAGACTTCTTTTTGCTCCCAACACTCAAAGAACACTTGAAAGGAACATGATATGAGTCCCCAGAGGATGCCCAAACTGCCATTCTGACATAGTGTAAATCAAAGGGCACAGAATATTTTCGAGGAATGGTTAGAGATATAGAACCACTGTCTTCAGAAGTATGTAGACCTAAATGAAGTATATGTTGAAAAACAAAAACTTTTTATTTTGGTAATTTTGCTTAAATCATAGATTTCTATGATTTGTAGCATTACCTTTTAACTTGCCCTCATATCCTGTACCCAAATATTCAGAGAATTGATTGAATTATATTTTAAATATTACTCTTGAAAGAATTTCTAATATTCCAAATTCAATGTCAAGAAATAAGAGCAATACCGTTTCAGCTTTGAGAGTGACATTAATTCTTACCTCATCATTTTATGCAACTTATTAGCTATTTGGTGGTGGTGGTTATGTGCCATGGAGTCATTTCCGACTCACAGTGACCCTGCACAGGGTTTCCAAGGCTGTAAATCATTACGGGAGCAGAAAGCCTCATCTTTCTACTGAGGAACAGCTGGTAGTTTTGAACCGCTGACCCTGAAGTTAGCAGCCCGATTTGTAACCACTATGCTACCAGAGCTCCTGATTAGATACTAGATATTTTAGTGGTTCTCAAACTTTAAGAATGCCCTGAGAAACTTGTTAAGAATTCCGATTCTGATTTAGGTCCAGTGTATAAATCTATAAATCGTCATTTTAAAATTAACACATATACCCTAAAGTAATTTCTAATTCAGATTTGAGAATTACTCACTGATTTAAAGGTCATCCTCATCCACATCTTTAGGGAGAAAGGGGACAAGAAGGGAGAAAGCTACAAAGACTGAATACAAACCTTTATATGATGGAGCAGGTGGTGCTGTTGCCACTTTCCTGACTTTTGTTGCCACTGAGCTGTCAACATTGACAACCATTACTGGATGGTCACTATAGCCCAGATTCTGACCCTGACCATTTGTTTCTTCTGAGTGTTCCCACTGTTTCCTAATCCGCTCCTTGAGTTTTTCTAGTTTGGCATCATGTTGTCGTCGCTTTAAAATATCTAATCTTTGGGAATTGGAAGTACTTGTAGAAGATGGAGAAGAGTCCGTTAGCCGTAATAGTTTTGGATCAACTTCATGGCTCAAGTTACTCACAGAAGCCTTCAAACTGTTCTCATTGCCTTTTGGTCTATTAGACTTTTCTTCCTCAGATCTCAAAGGAGCTCCCATTTTAATCAAACATTCGGAATTTTGCAATGCATCAATTGCTGGTCTATCATTTAAAAACCTAACAACTGTATCATTTATGACAGATGATTGGGAGCTCTCAAAATCATGTATATTCTTTTCTTCTCGATTGCTTGTCATTTGATTCCCACTCTCAGTTTTTTTTTCATTAACATCCACGCAATATACAAGCTTTGACTCCAGATGGTTGGAACTTAAATTAGAAGGTGCACCATGGATTTCCCTATAATAAAAAAAAATAATATGCTTTGAATAAAAAGAGTACAAAAAACAATCAAGCTGAAACCAGTCACACAATTTGAATGGAGAACTCTATGTTAACATCACAAACCAAATAACCATTATCAACATTAAGACTCAATTTTCAAAGTCCCCAATCATGTTAGTAAGTAAATACACCCACTCCTCACTTATTGATATACAAAATTCAGTGTTATGCAAAAATAGAGAATGATAATACCAGATCACAAAAATGATTGCCTACCATCATTAAATAACTGCAAAACTACATCACTACATAGCTACCAAAACCACTGAGAATCATGTTCCAGCCAAGATGACACATAACCTTACCCATCATGGTGGTGGTTATGTGCCATGGAGTCGGTTCCAACACAAAGCGACTCTGTACAGAGTTTCCGAGGCTATAAATCTTTATGGGAGCATAAAACCTCATCTTTCTCTGGCAGAACAGCTTAGAAGTTTCGAACTGCTGACCTTAAGGTTCACAGCCCGGTTCATAACCACACTACCAGAGCTCCTTTTACCCATCAGAGTAGGCGTTATCCTATCCTTGTACCTCAGCATTCACTACTGTCAGATGTATGTCATTATTGTGCAAAACAGTTGGACAGTGGGTTTTTCACTGTTGTCATAAGTACAAAACGTCAAATGAAATAGTCGATTAGCGAGGACACGGTGTAATCTAATAATGTGTATATTACAAAACAAGAAATATACAAAAGATGTGTGGAGAAGTTTCCTTAGGAACCCCATAAAATAGGACTATAATCTGACTTTGCATACTCACTTGACATCCAATAATAAAATGTGTATTTTATTCCTGTATGAATAGGAAAACTGTTCTCAAATGCTGAGATCTCATATGTTACCTTCTACGTAGCATAACAAAGTAACAACTGGATTAGGGTAGAAATTAAATGGAAGTACAATAAACATATTAGTCCATTTTTTGGCAGCCTAAAATTATGTAAAGCATATCCAAAAACTCAGATGGAAGCAAAGACTGGACAAAGTCAAAGCACAAAGCCCACAGAAACTCTAGCAAAGCTTTCCTTCAAAGCCTATTTATATTTATCTTATACATCATTCTAATAAGCTTTATTTTAGAAACAGAGGAAGGCTGATGAAGACAAACACGCTTCAGCAGAGAAAAGCACATGAATCATGAGAAAATACTCAACAATATTACAAAAGCAGACATAAAACAGCAATATGAATGAACCTCTACTGTCTGGAACAGTAGCTGTAACCACATGTGGCTATTGAGCACTCAGAATATGACTAGTTCAAACTGAAATATGCTGTGATGCAAAGTATATAAAGGATTTCAAAGACAGGACAAAAAAATATCAAATATACCAACAATTTTTATGCAAAGGGATAGAAAACATTCTTGGTAAAATTCCATTATCTTTTCATTCCATTTTTCCAAGAAGTTTTTGAAGCCCCCTCATAGGTTGAAATAAAATTTTGAATATAAACGTTGGGTTAAACAAAATACACTATTAAAATTAATTTCTCCTGTTTCTTTTTCTTTTCTTTTTAATATGACCACTAAAAATGCTTAATTACATCTTTGGCTTGCATTAATTGTTCATATTACTATTTTACATAAAGGCATAAACTCTAAACATCATTTCCCCCAAATACCTTAGAGCCATGACTCTATTACAGCATGGTAACTGTGTTTATTATGACTGTATAAACACATGTAATTTTTTTTAAGGAAACAATCTACTCTAGTTTTATCAGACTCTCACTGGGGGTTCATGATTCAAAAAGACTGAGACCCTCTTCTGAATCATTTATTGCTGAACAAGATGGGCTAAGAAGCGAGGTCTAAAGAATGCCATTAAAGACCAAGACTAAAGGAGATTATTTTCACTATCTTATCAGACTACAATAATTCTCCATTAAAATGATTAAGTCTATAATTAACACATGTAGAAACTAAAATAAATATAAGCATAAATTTTTGATCACATAGTCTCAATTTAAAAAAGGGAAGAACAATTACAAGAAAAGAAAAAGAAGTAATTTCATAAATTATCATTCACTCCTTATTGTATATAATATATAAAATGGTCTTCGCTATACACTTTTCCAATTCTTCTTTGAAATTTTTCATAATAAAATATTGGAAAAAATATTTCTTGAATACTTCATAAATGCCAGACATTAAGCTAATGCTCCAAGAATAGATTGACTCATATTACAAGACTATACTAAAGGAATTTACAAAGAGTTATGGGAGACAGAAGAAAGATTAACTAGGCTAAGAATGGGGTGGGATAAGAACAAACCTGACAATGTTTCATACAGAAAGTGATAAATATATGAGTTTTAAGTGATGGAGTTCTGCCAAGTAGAAAGGCACGCTAATCCTATGGGTAGTTTTATTTTCCTAAAAAACAAGTTACAATTTTAAATATTAAACAGTACCTTATGGGGGTAGAATATTAGAATATAATAAATAAGGAGTCAGTAACTCAATTTCGATTCTCTAATGATTATGTTTCTAGATAACTGTTTAATACATTTGGTTAGAGTTTCTGAACTCTGACCATTCTACTTTCTCCTTTTTCTAAACATTTTATTTTTTTTACCCAGATTAAGTACCTAGAGATTTTTATTTTTTATACCACTTTTATTGCTCTAATGCTATAGACAACTCCCAAATTTATAGTCCCTGCCTTTACCTTGAAGGGGCCCAGGTGGCACAATGAGTTAAGCACTGGACTCATAACTGTAAGGTCGGTAGTTCAAACCCACCAACTGTTCTGTGGGGAAAGACAATACCATCTGCTCCTGTAAAGATTTACTGTCTTGGAAATACTAAGGAGTAATTCTACTCTGTCCTTACAGTGTCACCATCAGTTGGAATCAACTCAATGGCAGTGGTTTTGCCTTGACTTTCTTACATACGTCCCTACACAAATTGTCAAATGCTTTGTGAATACTGAAAAACCTACATATTTCAAAATTGTATCAAATGCAACATATTGAAAATTATCCACCTTTACCTATCAAATTCTTTGTCTCAAATTTTAGAGTATAAACATTTTACACTACTAAGCATCATCACATAACTTGATTATTGAGTGTAATTTTAAAAGACTAACAATGTCTATAAATGAAACAAAGAAAAAGTCCAGTGTTTTTTCTACTCATTTTTAATTGTCCTACTAAAAGCAGTTACACATGTAAATCATTAGTAAAGTTTTCCTCAAACTAAGAAACTCTACAGTTTTATCGAAGAACCCTGGTATCACAGTGGATTATGAACTGGTATGAAAATAGTTGCTAACCCCAAGGTCAGCAGTTCAAATCTACCAACTGCTCCACGGGAGAAAGATGAGACTTTCTACTCCGGTAAAGATTTACAGCCTCAGAAACCCTATACAGAGTCACCGTAGGTCACAACTGACTCGACAGCACACAATCACCATCACACTAGTCTTCATCAGTTAAATATCCTAAACTATCAGTTAAGAAAAATGTGAACCACTTTCTATTATCTATACTATCAAACGGAAAATCATTCATGAACCTTGAACATCAGACTCAAGAAAGTTGATGAAAGAAACCATTAGAACCAAAGTAAAACAATAAAGTCAGTCACAGGTCCAATAGGATAGAAATTTTATGTACTGATTACTGCTACCAAAAAAAAAAAAAAAAAGAAGGAAAGAAAACTAAAACTAAATTGTACAAAATTCATTGTATAGAATATTTAATCTGAAATAGTATGAGGGGGAAATAGCCAAATTTACAGAGATTGAATAATTTTAGTCTCTAAGAAACATACTTATTATAATGATAATGGCCTAAGGCAAATGTTACTATTACATCCCCCTAGAAATTTAATTTGTAAGAGTAGCATAAGGCAGAATTTCATACTATGAAAAGTTTTTGCTGTATCTTTTGTAGAGAATGACAATGGTAACATATAATACCAGAACCAGAATGGTATGAAAAACTCAAGTAAAAATATATAATCTAACCATAAATATTACAGGCTATACCTATTTGATAACAACATTTTAACACTTACCTATAAGAAACTAAGGGATCACGAAATTCCACACGATTATTTTTCTTCACATTACTCTCAAGGGTGGTAGCTCTCAAAGGACTACGAGATTTCTCTTTCCGTGATTTAGAAGATTTGGTGACTGAAGCATTAACCCAAGAATCATCCAGGTATCGACCATCTGAAGAAAAAAGGACTCTATGCATTTTATATAAAATACAACTGTATCTGGGTTTGTCTAATACATAAAATATAACTTCTCGTTGTGTGCTACTGAGTCAGTTCTGATGTAGTAATATATATGACAGAGAAGAACTGTCCAAAAGGGTTCCTATCCTGTAATCTTTACAAGAGCAGATCAACAACCAAGTCTTTTAAACCTGCGTTCCTTAGAAAATAACTGACACCTCTAGTTGAATATGTTGTTGTTAAGTGCCACTAAGTCAGTTTTGACTCAGAGCAACCCTGTATAGGGCTTCCAAGGAGCAGCTGGTGGGTTCGAACCTCCAACGTTGTGGTTAGCAGTTCAGTGATTATCCTACAGTGTCACACAAAGACTCAAGTTGAATAGGAGAGGGCTTCAAAAAGTTCATGGGAAAAAACAGAATGAAAAATAATGACATTTTTCCACAAACTTTGTGATGTCCCCCTGTATTATATAGAAAATATAGAAAATATTCAGGTTAAATTATTATAATAACTTGAATCACATTATGAATAACTAATGTCACTGAACTGTACATGTAAAGATTGTGAAGATTATTACATGTCTTGTTACATATACACTTACTGGTGTTGTAAAGAGTCATTGAGTCAATTCTGACTCATAACAACCCTGTATACAGTTTCCAAGGAAAGGCTGGTGGGTTTGAATTGCTGACCTTTGTGGTTAGCCATCCAGTGCTTATCCTACAGCACCACACCAAACCTCCATATTATATTTATTAAAATGTTTAAAATATACACAATACAAGCTACAGAGAAATACAGTATTCTGAATAAGCAAATTATAAAATAAAATTCTACATATTAAACCCCTCATTATCAGTGGCTCTAACTTAAAAGGGAGAGTACCAGGTAAAACTCAACAGACTCACAGGCTTAAAATAAAAATCAACCTTTAATTAGACAGCAAAATAGTTTGAAATGCAAGGTCAGTGGTTCAAGCTCTCCAGCTGCTCCTTGGAAACCCTATATAGGATCAGTATGGATCAGAATTGACTTGACAGCACTTAACAACAAGAACAACACCAAGGTAGAGAATACTAACATGCAGGAAGTCCACCAATTAAGAAACCACAGAAAAAGATAGGAGAGACAACCACAGGAAAATATTTGTAATATGGCAACTTATGACAGTATCTATAAGATCATTCCATTTGTGGTTTTAAAGTCCAATACAAAAAGGATAAAGTTTACTAAGTCAACTATATTTCACTATCAAAGTGTGATAACATGCAGGGCTTCAAAAAACCCATCAAAAAAATTCCTTTATTTATTTATTTATTTTTGTGGGGGAAAATGAAATCTTTTAATTTAGTTTGTTGTTAAGTGCCGTGGAGTCGGTTCCGACTCACAGCGACCCTGCACAGGGTTTTCCGAGGCTATAAATCTTTACGGGAGCAGAACGCCTCATCTTTCTCCTGCGGAACCACTGGTAGTTTCGAACAACCTTGAAACAGCCAACAGACAGGTTACATTATCACTTCAAATAATAAGTAATAAGTTGGTAGAAAGGTGACCTTATCAAAATTAGGTGTCACTGAAGTTGGAACATTGCATACCACAGAAGTGGTATTTGGTGATGAGGAGCCGCTCCTCCTTTGCTTCAAAAGAGTCACAGTTCTCTCTAGCCCCTGAGTCAGTTACTTTTTCTCCCTTGAATTTCATGTTGCTAACAGGGCTCTTATTGGTTAAATAAGCAGTTGGACATGTTATCAGGAAAGAGCAATCACTAGAAAAGGACATTATGTGTGGAAGAGGAACCTCTCAGTGAGACAGATTGCCACAGTGGAGTCAGCCACACCAATGATCATGAAGATGGCACAGGCTTGGAAAATACCACGTTTGGTGATACATGCCAGCAGTTGGAGTCCACTGGATGGTAACTAACAACCACAAGAATAAGTAAGCAATACTGGGTTTGGGCTTTCATTTCGTTCTAGTCTATGAAAAAACAGTCTTTCCAAATCTAGCTCAACTTTCTTAACTCAGCAGCCAACAGTTTCTTTCGCTGTTCATTTCCAGATACGGATATATGTTGTTGTTGTTGTTAAGTGCCGTCGAGTCGGTTCCGACCCATAGCGACCCTGTACAGGGTTTCCGAGGGTGTAAATCTTTACGGGAGTAGAAAGCCTCATCTTTCTCCCGCGGAGCAGCTGGTAGTTTCGAACCGCTGACCTTAAGGTTCGCAGCCCGATTCGTAACCACTACGCTACCAGAGCTCCTTACGGATATATATCACCATCAAAACCCACTTTTCCTTCAAGGGGAAGAGGGTCACTGCAAGACTGTCTACTGCACACAGCCCCAGGGTCACCATGATAGCCAGTGAGAAGGAAGCTCGGCTTCCCATATGCAGCGTGACACTGCCTCTCAGGTCTCCACAATGAAAGATGTAACATTTAAGAATTTCAAGAAAAGTACAGTTTGACAGCCAGATGATGGCCAAGGAGCCTTTCAAAGTTCTTACCTATACCCTGTCTCCTAATGACATCAATTTCAGGTCCGTGTACAGAAAACACAACCAAGCAAAACAAATACTCAGATATCTGTTTCCCCCATTTCTGAATTAGTGCTCTTATAGATTTTGTTTTACAGCTTATGGAATATCAGATGGTGGTATTTCTTATGAACAGAAGGTTAGCAACAAACAGACATACCTCTTTTCAAACTCTACCAGCTTTCAGACAGGTTGGAGGAGACTGCCAGTCTGTGGTACCAGAAATAGTAAGGAGAATCTGGTGCCTTGGAGGGCTCTGGTTTGGTAAAGCAAGGGAGATACCTACTACCAGCATATGCACTTGCCACACACAATTTAGGCTTGAAGTAACTCTCTTTTGTAGGTACCTCAGACTCAAATTTTAGCACCAGTTTTTCCCACTTTCCCTGCTATGGTTTCAAACTTATAAAAGAACCAGTATCTAGAGCCAGGAGACATGTTCCTTAAACTTCCTGCCATTATAATTTTTTTCATTCATAAACTTCACTTTTAAAACCCCACATTTCCTTTCTTCATTTCATGCAGATTCCTGCCCTTATCCCCAATGGCCACTGATGAAGACTTTTATTTTGCAGTGGATGAAAGAGACTCTTCATCTTCTTGGTCATGGATGGGATGAGAAGCATATGGTCGTCCACACATTTGGTCGCACAGCTCTCCAGCTGCTGCTTTACCTACAGCTCCTTACTCCCTGCATCCACTGAGTCTTTGGCTTTGTTGTTGCAATGCATGGTACACCAGGCCAGGCGGTCCTGGAACTTCCTCCAACTCACTGGTCACAAGGGCCTATGCTTGAGCCAGCGGTGCATGGCAGTGTTCAATGCACTGGTGCCCCTGTTGCATGGATGCCTGGTTGTCTTCACAACAATTGGCACTGCACCAGAACATGATGTCCTGCAGCTCTCACATGTTCTCTCTTTCCAGATTCTTCACCATGGTGTCAATTGCCTCTTGCACATGGAGCTGCTGCAGCTCCACCATGGTGACCCTGTGCTATGGCCCTCGGCACCGGCGCCCACATGGACTCTCCATTATCTTTTAATTTCATTTTTCCATGAAAGTTTTGGAGCTCCCCCGTATACCTATTCTTTAAAAACGACTATTCCAAAGGCTCAAAATCAAATTCTGATCACTAAAAACAAATGAAAACTCACTGTCAAAAGATGTTGCACTGGGGCTAACTAACACCCCTGATCACAAGTCTGAAGATACCAACTACAGACACTGAATATGAGGCTGCTTCAAACCTACTCAGGACCAGTATAAAAAATTAAAAGCTGACGAGGTATATCTCTGACAGAAAGGCAAGTAAATAACATTTAGCTATAAAAAGAAACTAAATTGAAATGAAACATCAAAATTTTGTATTCAATACCTTTATAACTTTGGAAATAATAATTTTACAACACATACCTTTTCTACTTATTTTTCGTGTAGCATTTGCAGATTTCTTGGCATCCATGACAGAATCAAATACAGCTGTACTTGTAGGGGCTACTTCTAACTTGTTTTCAATGTGTCTCAGCTAAAGTTTAAACATGATCACAACATAAAAGTTAATACTGTAAATAATCCAGCTACTATTGACTTACATGACTACTTAAAACTGTATTGCCTAATATGTTTCTCCAAAGTAGAAAAAAAATGCTTTCTTATAATTTTTCATCAATTATTAGCATCAGCTGGCACAATGTTACCTAAATTTGGACAAGAAAATCAAAAAGATTCTGAAGAATATCAGAGTTTCTATTAGTCATATTGACCGGTTTTAAATTGTTGAGGTTTTCAATGCAGTAATCATATGCTGCATATTATTATGCTACATATCTTGTGCATTTGATATTCAAAACTGAGGAAAGAATCATTCAGTGAGACAAAAACTTAGAATTATTAAAATAGTTACTTTTTCTAGTCATGCATCTATAAAACAAGTTTCACAGTAAGACCAAGAATTAAGATTTCATATACACTTTGCAATATAAGCCATCTTAGGTATAACCACTGTGGTGTAGTGAATTATTAATGTCTCTTCTAGTCAAAGTGTGTTAACGCCCACCAAATAACATTTCTGCCCTTCTAAGTCTGGGTAAGACAAAGTGGGAAACGATACTGATAGGATGACATGATTCAGTTGTAGATGTTAGAAGTGCTCTTTGTAACTGTAAAACCTAGAAACTCTAGCATGGATATAAAATGAACCATCTTAGAAACAGGAGGGGGATCTCATTTCCATCAAAGAAATGCCAGGAGTGGAGCACATCCTTTGGGCCCAAAAATCCCTAACCATTAAACCTTAAACCAGGGACACAAAGCTGGGACACCTGAGGAGGGGCAGAGGAGCAGCAGCAGCAGACCCAAGAACCAAGGGATGAGACAGAGCAGTGGGATTCCCAGCCTAGGAAACACGTAAAATGGAATGACTTTGGGTAGGAAGCTTGCTTGTAGAGTACAGTGCCTCCAAGTTTAAGTGGGGAGCTAGGTTTGCTGACCATGGAGCTAGAATTAAGTACCCTCAGGCTGAGGCTTATGGCAGAGTGGTGTGTCCTGTGGGCACTTATCAGTAACTGACTGGAACAACTGTGCCCTGAGCATTTCTGAATCCAAATTGTAACCTGTTAACTTCCGATAATAAACCCCGTATTTGTGTGTATATGGTGTGAGTTCTATGTGGCCACTGCAACGAATTATCAAACCCAGTTGAGTAGGGAGTGCCATGGGAGGTATAGCTGGTGCACACTATTCTTGAAACCATCAAATCTCATTAATTTAAAAAAAGCACTTTAAAATATTGAGTATTGCGTGCTTACAAAAGAAAATTTGGAAAACACAGAGAAAAAAATTAAAGTTTTATCAGAGATAAAAACATTTGTGTAAAATTCTTGCATCTTATTTGAGATTTTTGCAGTGGAATATACTCACAAAATTGAAATAATCCTTTAGATATTAAGAGTGCTGTATCAGGTTCCCCCTAACATATACATACTTATATTATGAGCTACTTATCATCCTTTTAAATTCTTCAAAAAGATCCCTAATAGTTTTGAAAAACAATTAATTGTTTAGTTCCAAATTAATGTAGGTCTAAATTAAATTGAGAAATTAAAAACTATTCCTACATTATCAGACTCAAAATTGCCATCAAGTTGATTCCAACTCAGCAACCCTGTGAATCTTTACACGACCAGGCAGCCTCATCTTTCTCCCATGGACCAGCTGGTGGGTTTGAACCACTGACATTCCAGTTAAGAGTCCAATGCCTAATCCACATATTCATGCACTAAAGAGAAACTATATACTGCTTATGAATATATATATATATGCCTTATGAATACTGCAATATATAGTGCTACACAAGACTTTTTAAAAGTGTTGAAGAGCAAAGATGTCAGCTTGAAGACTAAGGTGTGCCTGACCAAAGCCATGGTATTTTCAATAATCTCATGTGAAAGCTGGACAGTAAATAAGGAAGACCGCAGAAGAACTGATGCATTTGAGTTATGGTGTTGGAGAATACTGAAAGTACCATGGGCTGCCAAAAGAACAAACAGATCCATGTTGGAAGAAGTGCAGCCAGAATGCTCCTTGGAGGCCAAGATGGCCAAACTTCATCTCTCATACTTCGGACACAGTGTCAGGAGAGACCAGTCGCTGAAGAAGGATATCATGTTTGGTAAGGTGGAGGGTCAGAGAATAAGAGGAAGACCCCCAATGAGATGGATTGGCCAAGTAGCAGCATCGATGGACTCAAGCGTGGCAATAGTAGTGAGGTTGGCCCAGGATCGGGCAGTGTTTCATTCTGCTGTGCATAAGGTCGCTATGAGTCAGTAATGACTCGATGGCACCTAACAACAACAACATAAGTCCAAAATTAGACCTTACATTGTGGTCCAATCTAGGTGACAGTTCTTTTCCAAATTAATTTTCAAATCAGTTCTAAAAATTAAGGAAGAAAAATCTGCATAAAAATATTCAATAAAAAAATGGGGGTTTAAATTCAGGTGGGATACAAAAGAAAAAAAAAGGACTTGCCAAATTTGCATTCTTAACTCCACACAAGACTTAGCAGAACACAAATGCAAGAAAAAGGTATTCTTATTCTATAGTAATGAGAGAAAACAGTGTTGGAAACCCTATACAGGATTGCTATGGGTCGGAACCAACTTGACAGAACTTAACAACAATAGCAGTAACAACTGCGACAAAGGGTGTCCTAGTAGCACAGTAGTTAAGTGCTGTGCTAACCAAAAGGTTGAAGGTTAAAACCTACCAGCCTCTCCACAGAAGAGAGATGTGACTTGGAAAGACAGCAGCCTTGGAAATCTATGGGGCATTCAATCTTGCCCGGTTGGGTCACTATGATTCCTCATCAACTCAACAGCAACAGGTTTGCTTTAGGTTTTCATACCACAAAAAAGAAGAGGTACTCAGAGTCCACTCAAGGAAAAGTTGTTCCTTTAATTTCCTCCTTGACCCTGAACCTTCTACAAAAACATAGCCCTATTTTCCCATTCATTCTCTCTTTAAGATCTTCATTTTAGCATAACTAATGATTAACTTTATTAAAGGAGAATAAACAGAATCAATTATTTTAATGTTTTATTTACTGCACTGTTGTTCTATGTTATGTTATGTTTAGAGCCATCAAGTCGGCTCCAATCCATAGCGACCATGTATAGAGTTTCTGAGGAGCAGCTAGTAAGCTTGAACCACTGTCCTTATGGTTCAAACTGACTTTGTAGTCCAGTGTATTAAACCACAGCATCGCCTGATATCTGAAGTCATGTTGTGATTACTCCTTTACTATTTATTAGTTGTCATTTTGTAATAAAGAGTATATATAACTTCTTACTAAAATGTTTAACTACATTTTCCTATCAAAAAAGTACTATGGGAAAAAAAAATTTATTCAGCCATAACATCATAATAAGGAGTCATTTTAAAGCAGAAATAAATGAAATGAAAGCTATAACTACTTACAGCAGCCTTGTTCTGTGAAAGTGCATCCCACGGTGTAGTTATATCTGCTGGGGGAAAAAAGTGTATTTAAGGAAATCAGAATCTCTGCATGGACTTCAGAATCTGCATATTAAATAAGCCCCCGCCCCCAAGTAATTAAAATGCACTCAAAAGTGTGAGAACTACTTTGTTAGGTAGAACAATTCGTTAGCAAGTGCTTTATTAAATCAAGTCAAAATATATTTCCTCTCCCAATCTATTATGCTATACAGAAGTACACTTCCCAACATATGATTTAGAATTCTATAAGACACTGATCCTAATAGCTCTTAGGACAGTGGGACTGACACCACTATGCCCTTCTCTCCCACATCTAACAATAAGCCATATGGTCTGCTTACCCCAAAAGGTTGAGCAAATACAAAATTTTGTATTGCACTGCATTTCACATTATGATGTGAAAAAGATTCAAGTACTACTACAGACTTCTACCAGTAGAAACAAAGGCAAAATCTATATAGTCTATGAGACTGTTGTTATTAAATGCTATCGAGTCAGTTCCAGCTCTGAGCGTCCACGTACAGTGTTTTTGGGAGTGGCTGGTGAGTTTGAAGGACGAACCTTGAGGTTAGCAGTCCAGGGCTTATTCTACAGTGCCATACCAGGACTAACAGCCCTTAAAATTGAATATCCCAACAACAACAACAAAAAAACTACTACTAACGAGTAGTTTTTGACTCACAATAACCCTACAGGACAGAGTAGACAGAAGTCCTTACCAGAGCAGATCGCCATATCTTTCTCCCATCGAGCGGCTAGTAGGTTTTAACTGGTGACCTTTGAGTTAGCCAGTAAGCACTTTAGCCACTGTGCCACCAACCAACTCACTACCACAGAGTTGACTGTATGTAGGTTTTTCTAAGGCTGTAAATCTATACAGGAGCAGAAAGTCTCCTTTTCCCCCTACAGAGTGGCTGGTGAATTCAAACTACTGCCCTTACAGTTAACAGCTCAACTCATAACCCATTACACTACTATGCCACTGCAGCTCCTCAAACAGTATGGTGGTGGAGGTGTGCTGTCAAGTCGGTTCCAAATCAGAGACCCTATATAGGGTTTCTGAGGTTGTAAATTTTCACAAAAAGCTTCATCTTCTCCCATGGAGTAGCTGGTGGATTCAAACTGTTGGTCTTGAGCTTAGCAGCCCAACACATAACCCACTATGCCACCCTGCCACCAGAGCTCCTCAAATAGTACACTATTGTTGTTAAGTACAATCAAGTCATTTCTGACTCATAGTGACTCTGTATAGGGTTTACAAGGAGCAGTTGGTGAGCCTGAACCACCAACCTGAGGTTCAAACTGATCTTGCAGTCAAGTGTTTATCCTACAGCACCACACCAGGACTCCCAAGTAGTACATAAGGTCACATATATCCCTTCTATAGGACAACCATTTTCATCCTCTTCAAGCATTCCTCATACGACTCAGTTTCCTTCAAATGTCCTTCAAAAAAAATCACTGTCCCAAATTAAAGTTACCCTCAGTACATTAAAATTAAATAAAGAGTACAATGAGATTATTACTTTTGTTATCTATGCACTACAGTTCTATAACTGTATCAGTAGCTATATTATACCATGAACTGATACCGTCAGAATTTTACATAATACTGGTTCACTTTAAAAAAAGGATTCTTCCTTTACAAAATAGTTTACCACAGGATATCTTTGAAAGTGGAGACCTTAAGATTTTTAGAACAAAACTTTAAAAATTATTTATCTACATTTTATAAATGAAAGCACATGTATAATTTTCATTTATTGTTAGCACATACTTGAATACACATGATCTAAATAAAGGATTGTATATGGTTTTTATGAAAAAAATCCTACCTTGAACAGTGTCCTTGCTTTGAGAGTTCCTTGGATTTGGTAAAGGCACCTCTTTTGATTTGCTGCTCCACATCCTGCCAATTTACCTATAATCACACCATCAGTATTTATTTCAACATCAATATTAGAAAAAGATCAGTAAAGAAAATGCTCTGACTTATTTTGCCCTGCCTGAAAGTCAAAGATTATTTTGCTATCTCTAAAGGTTATCTTTATGACCTTACAAGTTACTACTAATTGAATAATTTTAATTTTTCTTGGATAACAAAACCATTAAAAATTGTATCACGACTTAAAGAGAAAGATCAAGAGTTGCTTAAACTGATGAGACTAATTGATTATTCAAGCCAATTACAATTTCCTATGAAGAAATTACTCGATTATAATAGTCACATAACAGCAATCCTGATTATTTGGAAAATACAGGAGGAAAACTCATCCCAGCTCTCAAGATGCCAACACACCATTAAAATATTTTACATGTTCTACCCTTTCTTCTTTCTTATTGCAATCACTGTAATTTCAATTTTGTGTTCTACTTTACTTAACTACTGGGACATTTGTGGTGATTTTTAAATGTATCCACAAATTCTCCAAAACCCCTTCCCTTCAAGATGTGGAGCTTAATACTTCTCCTGAGCATAGAATGGACTTCATGCTCATGAATGTGGCAGAAGTGGCAGTGTGTGACCTCTCAGACTAGGTCATAAAAGGCATTGCTCTATTTCTCTTAAACTCACTAGAGTTTTGGGAGAAGTCAGTTGCCAGATTGTGAAGACAGGCCAGCTGCCCTATGCAGAGCCATGTGATAAGGAAATAAGGCCTCCTATCTCCAACCTTGTGAGTGAACTAACTTGGAAGTGAATCCTCCAGCCTAAGTCTTCAGAGAATGAAGCCCCAGCTGCTGTATTACATTGACTGCAATGTATGAGAGACCCTGAGCCATAATCACCCAGCTAAGTGCTTCCCAAATTCTGGAACCACAAAAAGCATAAAATATATGTGGAGGGGGAATAATTATACAATAAGAAGATAACAAATACAATATTATACCCTATTTTTCTGCATAAAAATAACAACTGAAATGAACATATTGTGTACATGAGTTTTTGCTCATTTGGATTACAGTATTTACCTAAAATAACAAAACTGGACTAAAGAATGAAGAATATACTGCTCTTGAGACCTGCTGAATTAGAAAACTGTAACTAATAATAAAGGCAAACCAAGTTCACTGATATCTTTAATGTGGGCCAAAATCCTTTTTATCTTTGCTGATAAACAAGAAGAAACAGTTGCTTTAATCTGAATTTAGTAGATTGCTATGAGAATTAAACAATACGCTATAGATCTTAATCTTAGCTCTTTGTCAATTATCTCTTTTTCTCCTATGTCTACTTACAGATCACCTATTAATGTGTTTTCATCATCAATTTAATATGTTCTTTATGCTATAAATATATTAAGCCTTAATCACATTTGATAAAATTAATTTTCTGTAATTAGTTCTTTGCAAAGACAGTCACTATCTTGATTATTAAATTTAAGGAAAAACCTATGTACTGAGTCCAAATACATAAAACTAAAAATCAAAATTTTAAGGGAATTAATTTTACCTAATAGTAAAGAATCCAGATTTATAAATTTTCTAGAAAAAAACTTTTTAAATGTTTTGAAAATAAAAATGTGCAGAATATGACACTAAGTAAAATCAATATAGATTTTTTAAATAGTCAGGCAGAGATGGTTAGGTAAAATAAAATTGACAAATATACCAGTAAAATGCCAAAACTTTTTCAACCATATATATTTAAAATCAGAACTGCCAAAACATTTCAAAACTTAATTTATTTTACTTTCCTGTTATTCAAGATACAATTGATCTAGTCAGCTGTCAAAACAATGACTAAACAAAGAAGCATTAATTCATCTTTTGCTATTGCTATTATGGTGAAGTACCATCCAGTCTTTTCAGACTCACAGCAAGTCTGTGTAGCCGAAAGAAATACTACCTTGCTACATTTAAACAAGCATTGCTACATTGAAGCCCAGTTTTGAGAAGTCACTGTGTCAATTCATCTCACTGAGTTGTCTTCCTTCTAGTTGACCCGCTATCAAGTGACTCTATGTCACTAAGTAATCTGTCTATGGCCTGACAAAGTTTTCTTTAAGCAGATATCACTTGGTTTCAAAACTAAAATAAATGTAAAGTATACAGTAATTATTAAGTATCCAGTGACGTGAAATAAATCATCTAAAACCACAAGTTGTGTGTACAATCAAGTCGGTTCTAACTCATGTGGTGGTTGTGTGTTGTGGAGTCGTTCCAACTCATAGGGACCCTGCACAGGGTTTCCGAGACTGTAAATCTTTACGGGAGCAGAAAACCTCATCTTTCTACCACAGAGTGGAATAGCTGGTAGTTTCAAACTGCTGACCTTGAAGTCAGCAGCCTGATTAATAACCACTATGGTACCAGGTAGGAGCTCTGGTAGCATAGTGGTTACGAATCGGGCTGCGAGCTGCAAGGTCAGCAGTTTGAAACTACCAGCTGTTCCGCAGGAGAAAGATGAGGCTTTCTGCTCCCGTAAAGATTTACAGCCTCAGAAACCCTGTACAGGGTCGCCATGAGTCAGAACCGACTCCATGGCACATAACCACCACCACCACAGTACAGGTACTAGACCTCCTTCCTAACTCATAGTGACCCGGTATAGGGTTTCTGAGAGTGGCTGCTGGGTTTGAATTGCCAACCTTACAGTTACCAGTCCAGTTCTTATTCTACAGTGCCACACTGTTTAAGAGATAATGCTAATAATGCTGTGACAGTATGAATGAATTAAAAAAACAACCTATCTCCACTTCAACATAAATGATCAATCTATTCACATGCAAATGACTAAATGTTGTTGCTGTTAAGTGCCCTTGAGTTGGTTCTGACTCATAGTTACCCTATACAGGGTTTCCAAAGTTTGAACCAGCAACCTTGTAGTTAACAGTACATAAAATTTCATCCTGGAAATAAACGATATATTTACCACGTTGAGAACAACTAAATGTAACGATACAGTTAAATCTCAAGAAAAGTGATTGAAGAATGTCAGGGGTATTATACAAGCTGTATGATTCCATTATATATCTAAAATATCAAAGAAGCAAAAGTTCCTCGTCTTGGTGTTAGGATAGTTGTCACCACTGGAATGGTGGGAAGGGGATGACTGAACCTGAGCAAGGGAGAGCTTCTGAGGTACTCCTATGCTAATATCGGAGTTTGATTTTGGATGCTGGCTTCATGAGTGTATTCAGTATGCATGACTTAATCGAGTTGCAAACTCAAGGTTAGGTTTATGATTATAATTTTCAATTCAGTTCTATAATGTCTCTATTCCCATGAAGCGCCTGAATTTTTCAATAATCAGTCTCCCAAAATTCCTAGTAAGTTATTTGGCCAAATATTTTGAATAGAATATATTTAAGTAAGCCTGTTCTTTATGTAAGAATACATAATATTCATAAAATATTACCTACTCTATAAAAGTAGAGAAAGGAATAACTGTAAAAAAATTATAATGAAAAAAAATCTCTTCAAAGAAAGAAGACAATCTAATCTGTCAAAGCTGTCTTTGAAGTATAAATCTCATTTTGCAAAATGCTTCTTCCAAGCAAAGTGTTTACTAACTTTATTTAAATAGATTAAACTTTATTTAAATAGATTGAACTTATTCAGGATAATTTCTTACACAATAATGAAACCATCCTCCCAGTTCAGTGTTTTACAAATATAATAGTAGTTCTATGTAAGAGCAGTGTAGAAATTTTGGAATGATTTACTAGACATCTGTATATTCTTTTTGCCTATTTAATTTGACTTAAGAGGTACACAAAATCTAGTTACTGATTTTTTGTATATTTCTCTTTATACTTCTAAAAGTTTATCTTTATATATCTTGATACATAATGGTAAACTTGTAGAAATATCTAAGGGTTCATGGCTGTTACACTGTCATTGTGAATTTTAAATTTCATCAGCTAAAAAATAACCATATTATTTTATTTTATATGCTATTTATAAAAAGCAACCACCACGTTCTTTTATTGCATCTGCCCTATCCTTTTAATTCTGAGCTTTTCGTGCCATTTTAGCATTATCTTATAAATAAAAAATAGAATTTTTAAAATGTAATACTCTTTGCCTTCAAGACAATGAACAGAGAAAGTCAACTTGTTTATTAATAATCTTGTGCTATCCCTTTTAAAACTGAAACTCAATGGGAACCCGCAAGCAGTCTAATATGCTCACTTGTGACCAACTGGGTCTACTTCTGAGTGGAAGTGGGGGATATGCAGCAACGAAGACAAGGGCTGAGCTTGGCCATATTCCATAGACACCCGATGGCCTTGAGATAAGAGAGAGGAGATGAAGGGCTGGTTGGTTTGAAGCTGAGGGTGACTTGTGAACTCTAAAGCCAATGGGCACTGGTCTAGCCACTGGGGTCTAGAGTTACGAGTGAAGCAGTCAGCTGGTATGAAGTTGGGGGGAGGCATGTGAGAACTCCCAAACTTGCAGATAGTACCCATTTGACCTAGCATGAATGGCTTGCTGACCAGAACTCGATCAGATGAGGATAAAGAAGTTTCATACAGGTAACAAGTGTAAACTCTACAATTTGATGAACTGGACCTTTGCTTACGGATGTAGTTGCCCAAAATTCCAACCAAAAGGGAAGTCTCCTTCATATCAAGGATCAAGTTTGCCTCCTCAGTACACTGGGATAATAGGGATGGGCAATTTAGACTTTGGTTATCAAAAATGGGATGCTATAAAGGCACAAAGTGGTTCGCTTACAAGCTTTCAAGAGAGTGCTTACTGTCAGAACAAGGGGTGTAAGATAGAATCCCCACTGAATAGCTTTCCTCTTGTCCAGATAGGTTTGGTAAAAAGGGATGTGGGATGATGGGGACAGGAATTCATGATTCAATTGTGAGTAATTGTTATCATGACTAATGTGAACTGTTACAACTGTAAATGTAGAAGTGTAACTAAAAGGGAGGTGCAGTTAATCTGTCATTTCA